ACCCTTAGTGTGTATCTGTAACGTGTGTGGAAACAAAATGCCCTATAGCATGGAAAATAAAGACTATCTATATATCTATTCATAGCATATTGTTTTTGCAGGTAGCATACAATCAACGTATTGTATTATTTTATACTAACAGGATAGTTTTATGGCCCTGCGATGGATGGATGGATGGATGGATGGAGGATAGTTTTGTATCACATTACAAATTATCAAATAAAACTACTACTTTAAAAAACTGTCAATTAAAGGACATTGAGAAAGCAATGTTGTTTTTTTTAACCAAGATTTTATTTTTAATTTGTTTTTCTGAAGCATTCCGAGAGCGGTGTCACCACTGTCCACAACTAGTACCTCATTTCTGTTGTGCATTGTGAAATATCACACTCATAGATGAAACACATTTAGTCTTCCGATCTGACATCGTTCAGTATACTTTCAGTAGACACACTCAGAACCCAACTGTAGAAATATACTATAGTTTGGGTCATTTAGCACATCACCATATGATACTGGAATATAATATTCAATATGTAAAAAACAACATTTTTGATGTATAAACAGTATGCACCCTTTAAAGTTGGTCACTGTATAATTTGTTTTTGTCACTTTTATTTTTTACTATTGATGTCTTGAACGTAAAGTGTGTGCATTGACAGGCTAAATATGGCTCTTCCTACTATTTTCCCACCCCATCACCTAAATATGGACTCATCCGTTGTAGTACATGTAGGGTTGTAGGCGGAGAAAGAGGGGTCCTCTGCAGACGCGGAAAGTCCCCAATTATGTGGTAATTCTAGAGAGTGGTTGTGATATTTATTCTTATTGCCCAAAGAACTTGGCATTTATGAGACTCACCACAAACACATTCCCCACAGCACAGGCAAACGTCAGGCTCTTTGCACTCGTTCAATCAGATGAAATGGTGCTGATTTATGGTGGAGTTTGGAAGGAAGTCTCCCGCAGCCCTGCTTATTTAATTCAGGTGGTCCTTTTTAAAAAATGAAATAAGTAAATTACGTTTACAGTAATTTTTCCCAGCCATGACAAATACTGCTCTGTGTTTCCAGTCAAAGGATTATACTTTTTACTGTGTTTGACTTAGAAATATAATCAAAAGGTGTTTACCTGGTGCTGATGGATCTGGAAATTGCATCAGACAAATCTGATGTCAAGTTTTCAATCAAGCATCTTTCATTTAGCAGAATTACTGCCATACATTGTGCCTACAACATTACAACCTACTACCTACCACCTACAAAGGTCAATCGACTGCACTCCGTGCTTAAAAGGTATTATTTGACTTGAATGGAGGTGCATTGTATGTAATCAGCATGGAGTCAAAATGTAAGTATAAAAGGGAATGTGTAGAAGTTGCAATGCCTCTCAGACACAGCGGGGGTGGTTCGATTTTCAGTGCTTATGCCTTCACAGGGCACAATTTATGGCCATTATGGTGGTCTATTTCTAGCTATAGTGATAGATTCTGCTCAATTATTGTCCATTATGGAGAAAGATGGCCGCACCACCATCACCACCAGACGTTATTGGTTCCTCCAGCAGTGGAATTACATTGAAATCATTGCTGCATGTTCAGCTCAGTTACAAGTAAGCTAAACTGAAATTCTGTTGTTCTGTGATGGATTAATGCAGCAGTTCCTAACCTCAGGCTGCATATTGTGAGCATGTGTGCAGTCCCCTCAAATAATTATTTTTTATTTGAATAATTTTTGAGGCCTTAAGGACTTACTATTTCACAATTAAAAAGCAAAGATTAGAGAATAATCTAAATTAATATTTTCTGGGTAGTTTATTATTTACTTTCTAAGTAATAATCTGTTGATCCCTTATATTAATTGTCTGAGTTTCCTGATCTCCAGGTTGCAAATGTTATCATGACTGGCTGACTAGCTTACTGTAGAAGCCTAACCTACTACAGCATTACTTACCATACATCCACTGTGTTGTTTCACTGTGTGAAACCTGGTCCTTGATGTTACGTTACTTGTATAGTGTAGCCTACAGGTGTATATCCTGCTCTATTGGATTCAGCGAAGTTTACTCTTCCCCAACCCCAGTCAGACCCTTCGGAGACTGCAACATTTGCCAAACATGGTCAGTCTTCATCTTAAAGCCTTTTCTCTTGTAACATCAAGAGTAAAACATATTGTTTTAAAAATTCTACAAATAAAGCGTAAATCTAACTCTAAGTCTCTGTCTTGCCTGTCCAAGTTTTAAGCTAACAGCCAAACAGGTGTATGTTATTATACACAAGTTTAAAATACTTATACATACTTATTTTTAAAAAGTCAACCGGAAAAGGCGTTTGCAACCAATTTTTTAAATTAACATTGGCTTAATTAGCGAGCTGGCTACAGCTGAACAAAGTACCGGTCACCGCCTGGAAATTTATCTTAAATCTTAAATTATTCTTAATTATTCTTATTCTTTAATCTTAAATCAAGAACACATTGCTTTATAAATTACAAGAAATATTAAGTGATAAATCTGCCTCTGTATTCATAATGATTCATAATGAGTGGCTTTTGCAAACATTCAATTGTGTAATTAGCATGTTTTGTCTTTAGACAAATTGTTGTTTTAACTGAAAATGCATCCCACAAGATCCCATCCAGGATCTCTGAGTGTGTTAATGGGCCACATGCTGTCTGCACAACATTGCTAATTATCTAACACTTTTCCTACACTGGGGCTGATCCTTACACTACACTATATCTAATAAGTAAACCCTCCACAGCCATTCTCCTGCTTTCAATATGTTTATGTCTGAATAATGGAGAAAAATTAGGAAATAGAGGGTGGGTTCCTATTATTCCTGGCATCAGGGCGCTGCAGTGGCTGTCGTCTCGCCAGAGCTCAGGCTGGCAGTCAGCACAAACTGGAGGTAATTCAGAGGGAGAAGTCCCAGCCAGTTGCACGGGGGGCCTCCACGGGCCTCTGAATGCCACCGTAGCCCCCAGCAGACATTAATCAAAATGCCCGATCAATAACTTCTCAAGTGCTAATAAGCACTGGCACATTTCGTGATATGTGAGCCCCTTCATCATTTCAACTACCGGGAGATTTATAGGAAATCCATTGTTAGGTCCAAAGTATGAGGTAATGTAGCACTTAGTAAATGAAGTAAAACCAAAAGCCTGAGGTGATTTGTATTTCATTTACAAAGGACATGTCTAATCATTAGGAGCTCCATCTCTCTGAAAAGCAACCAAACGGCTGTAATGATGGCTGTGTTCTTTTATAGCTTACTTACTCAGCAATGATGCAGGAGATAACAGCAAACAGAGAAGCCTTGATGTCCTCCACTCCTGGCTGGTTCACTCCCAGATAGCCATGGGGGACTCCTATCCACCATGGAGTGATTAAAGTCATGTTAGGGAACCATTATGGGTCAAGTCATAAAATAATTTGATTTCTGTCCCCCTCTACTGTCTCCTATCAAAGTGATTGGTCCCCTGGTCATCTCACTGGCTGACATAATTGTTAATTAACCATTATGGGCTGCCCTTTCTCATCTATATCTCACAGCAATTACTCATTTGACATCAATGCAGTATATCACAGTGTATGATGTATGGACATCATAGACCTATTTTATGAGTATGAACCGATTTTGTATCATGGAAGTGTTGCATGTTTACTAACATTTAGATGCTTTATTTACTCGAGTATTGATTACTGTCATGTTTGTTTCACATGTTATTTTCTGCAGGTGCCTAAATTCTTGGCAGCATATGCATGAGCACTGAAGAACTGACAGATTATTTTCCTTTTCAACCTGTTCTTTTTTTAACCTTTCGCTTAAGTCATCAGCTCTTTACACGTCAAGATGAGTTGTCTTTTCAAAAATACCACAGATCAGGTAAAGAGGTCCAGGGGGAAGAAAGTTAAATAAAAAGCTCTTTAAAATGGTATTCATAAAGAAAAAGACAAACAATGTACTTGTTGAAAATAAAAGCGCACACTGAAATCCAGTCTGATGACAGTTGAGAATGCAGGCTTTATGGGGGGCTTGAGCCCCATCTTTGCTGTATCTTTTAAGAGTGATTATTTACTTAAAAGAACAAACCAAAGCTCCAAGTCTGGCATTGTGGATGACAGGCCTTTGATTGAGCTCTGAGCTTGAATTCTTAACTAATAAATTGTTCCACGCCTTTGTCTGGGGCATTAACAGCAGTGGTCTACGTTTTTCTTGCCCTAATCTCAAGAATGCAGCAGCCTCTTGAGAAGCTCAGGGGTTTCCTCCTCTCCCAGAGCCAGGTCGTCACTTTGTTTTCTTAGAGGACTCCCTGGATTGACAGGCCTCACCGTTAGCCCTCTCCCTGGCCATCTGTTCTCACAGATTCTGACTGAACACATCAAAGTCAATCAAAGCTGCAAAGCATTTTAAAAGTGACACACCCCCGTGCCGTATGTGAGAAATAAAGCAAACTTTTCATCAGGCTCACAAAAAGAGATGGTTGTGACTGTGTATGGTTTTCCATGTACGTACGGGTGACCTGGAAGGGATCCCTTAGCTCACAGCACAGGTATGAGCAGCTTAGCTTTGTTTAGTGCCTTCTCTGACGACAGCTTGGTGAGTCACCTAGACACATAGACTAACCTCCTTTGGTCAGATTCCAACTATTCACTAACAACTCCCTGACAATAAAATAATCATTAGTGAGATTGAGACACATGTAGTTTTCAAACTACAGCCCCATTCCAATATATATGTATATATATTTAAATATCCCAATAAAGTATAAAGGATATTACTTGAGTAAATGTACTTCCACTACCATTTTAATATTGTTAAGATTAATAATATTACATAATTCACAGGCTGAAAAAATGTCATGAAACACATCACCTAATTGAATTTAAGGTGCATCAACCAATCGGCTAACGCAGTGGTCTCCGCTCAGCCAATCAGAGGAGAGGAGGCCGATCCTGGACTGGTTACCTGGTAACCACTCAAACGCTGTGTTGATAAGATGGCGATGAGGAAGGTTTGGATTTTAGCTGCTTTGTTAATTTATTAATTTACGAAAACGTCGTTTTTCAGATGTCATTTGAAAGACCGTGCCATATATATCGTCAGGGTTTCTTGTTATACGCACATTTAGACTTTCTCGATAGTATAGTCTTGAAGCTAGTTTCGTTAGTATGAGGAAGTTAAGTTGTCCCGTTGCCTGTTTTGCAAACGCTAACTTAATAAGATAACAAACACAGTTTACATTGAAAACAACCAATGTATTCTCTAATTTATGAGTGAAATTAGGTTACTAGAAGATAGACTGTAGCTAAGCTCTTTGTGTCAAAGTAATGTCTTTGACATACTCATTGCTGCATTAGTGAATTATCTTTGGCAATTATAGCATTTTCCATTTGGCCACAGAGTGATGTATTCCTGCATTTTGCTATTATTTGGTCTTGACAGTCTAGTTCAGAATGCATTTAGTTGTTTTTATTGTTCTGAGATAAGTATAAAGTGTAAGTGTTCTACTTTGCCAACGTTATAAGATGTTGCTATACCTCATGCATCACTTTATGTAAATGCAGTGTGATGATTATTCATATCATATTTTACAGAGCTTGACATCTAAAGCTAGCAACAAGTTGGTGATCACCTCAGTCGCCTTTCAGGATCACATCACACGCAGTCTGCGGCATCCAAACTTCTCACTGTCTGACCCTTTGCTGAGATGCAAAAGAAAAGCACCCAGAAAAGCACAAGCAGGAGGAAAAGGGGCAGAGAGGGGTCTGCAGAGAGAAGATGGGCAAGAAGAGAGAGAATATGTGCTTGATTCTGCTCCACCTTCTTTAACATTAGGTAAAACAAACACTGGGAAATTTGGACAGACTTTATTTATGTGACTCATGAATATATATATAACCAGTATATATTTTTATTTCTTTTAGCTCAGAAGTTGGGTTTGGTGGCCTCCCCTGCAGGGAGACTGACCGAGGACGAATGGACGCAGGTCAAGAGCAGGTCTGTTCAGCAGGGGGAATCAGCTCAGCCCTGTGCAATATGCAGGGAGGAGTTTTGCCTTCAGCCTCAGGTATTCCCCCAACACAGTAGCTACTGTAAATAGCTCTTTCTTTCTTTCTTTCTTTGTAACATCTTTTCAATGTTCTGTCTGTCCTCAGGGAAACCTGTGTTTCCGTATACACACATGGACACGCACACACATACACACAAAGCCCACCCACCTCCCCCTGCAGTTCCTGTATGTTCTAATCTATGTAGACAACTGTACAAATTTACCCATACTGCCTTGGAACTCAACTGTGACGTGATGATGTAGCAATCAGTGTGTTACTGTGAGGGTCATTCAGTCTTTTACACCTTTCCGATCCCCTTTTAAGATGCCAATCTCCTCAAGAATGCGGGGACTAGAATAGGCGGCCTCACAAAGCACAGTTGCCATAGATGCACGTGTAAATATTAGTTTGACTCAGGAAAAAAAAAGTTAATTAGAGCCTGCTAACAAGGGAAAGTGACAAGAGGGAATCTTTGTTGATTTGGCATTTTCTTGCAAGCCTTCATATCGTAACAATGCATTTGTGCGCTGCTGTCTTGTGTCGCATTCAAGCATTAATATGATAATTAAAAATGCTTACAACAGCAGTTGTTCAGAATCCGTTATGTCAACTGAAATATTTGCTTCTCTGTCCAGCTCATATTATTTTAATACCAATCAGAAATTTTCTGTAAAAGGACAGGATTTTACAAGATGTGTTCCTCTGCTTTCTATTAAATTTTCATTCCTTTTCTGTAGCCGGTAGCATTAAAGCTCTGTGAGAAGTAAAATTTCTCAGTGGTCTAATGGCTTGTCGAGCTCCTGGAAATTGTACACTGCAGGGGGCCCTTTCACTGGTGATGGAGTGTGTTGGTCAGGCCAAAAACAATGGGAAATCAATATGGCCCCCCCTGCCCTCTAGAGATCTGAGTAAACTGGTTTGTGTGCCAAGCTCCATAGCTGTGGCTGTCTCCTTTCAGACGATAAAAGAGTCCATCTCACAGGTAGAGGAGACTATAGTCCAGGTCCCAGACGGCTCACTGGGGGTCATGCAGACTCCGTCTATCCTCTTAGCAAATAACACTTAAAGGCAGATACACACAGTCATATATGTGCATGAATACACACTATGGCTTAAGGCTCACATACACACATCACATGTGCACAGTATACTGAATGAGAGGTTTCCCAAGCACTTACAGAAAACCCCAAAAACCAATACACATTCAGCAGCTTCCTCTGCAGACATGGCAACCGATTCTGTCAGTTGACCTAAGATTGCTTTAGATACTTCTTCATTGCTATATGATACAAATTTCAAGCTACATGTGTCACTGTTTCTTTTTAGGTGTTGCTGTCTTGTTCCCACGTTTTCCACAGAGCATGTTTGCAGGCCTTTGAGAGGTTTTCTGGGAGGAAGTGCTGCCCGATATGCAGAAAGGAGCCGTATGAGACACGGGTGATCCACGATGCAGCTCGCCTCTTTAGACAACAGTGTGCCACCAGGTGCATGCACTAAACCACACATTTAAAAGAGAACTGCATAAAATACTATACTTTAAACCCTTAGTTTGCAATGTCCATCCCTAAAATTAGTATTCTGCTACCGATACCTCAACTCTGGGTATCGGCTGATAACAATTCCCAGAAAAAAGATACCAGTGCTCTCTTTTTCCCAAATGTAAAATCTGTATATCTCTGTATAGCCTTTGGAACAATGTTACTTACGTTAACACGAGGTCAGGAATTGTTGTTGTGCTAAATACTGAGTGATTACCCAACCATGACAGAATCAATGTAATAATGTGTTTCAATAAATATATAGGCATTCCCAGAAATTTACAATAAGAATTCATCACACAGTCTCATCACAAGTGACTTGGCAAAACAACATCTTTCCTAAAACCAAAAACCTGTTCTGATGTGAAATAGTTCAGCCCAAAGAAGACTTTTGAACTGCATGATCAACATTCAGACTGAAACAAAGATGGTGATGATGTTATTTATATGGGGCCACGCTTGCTATTCTTGTTTGGTTATGGTTTTACATTATGAGAAATAATGTCATCCAATTTTCAATAAATTAAATTAGCCCTACCAAGAAGCTAACAGCTTCTCATAAACATAGCAATCAGTAAATACGGTATGTTCTTCAAATCTCTGCAAAGCTGGACTTTTACCACTTTTTTGTAACATTTGACTCGTAACCGTTTTAAGAGCATCTTATCTTTTTGAATGTATTATGTGTGTGTAGAATTCAAGCATGCTGGCGAGGCTACGTTGCCCGAAAAACGTACCGACAATTGAGAAAATCCATCTGCCCAAAAGACAAACATCTGCGACGCAAATTCTTCGAAGCACAGGTGAGTTTGGACTTCAAATGTGCATTGATCACATCATCATCTTATATATGAACCGCGCTTCTTTGGATCACACTGAACATACATAAGGTCAAACTGCCTAGCATCTGTCTCCTCAAGTCTCTTTTTTCTTCTACATTTCACTCTGACGTTTTTAGATTGTTTTGTTGGTTAAATAAAGGCTGTGACGAACATCATGACGGTTGAGAGATGGGTTTCAGGGCCTCACTGACCCTACTGCTAACCTACAGAGCCACAAACACACACACCTTCACCTGCTCTCACCCTCTCAAGCTCCTTTGATGCTTTGTGAATCATACACCGTTTGTCCACTAATGTGGAGAGAGTTTTGTGTTTTAGTCAAACAGTCTGGACATTCCAGGGTCAACACAAAAGAATGATATCTCCTGCTATTCCTTCATCTATCTATATTTCTGCTGTGTGTGTAGCTCTGTCACAGGGTTAGATGGGAAAGGGTGAAGAGGTGAGGTTAACCAGGTTGTTTGGATACCTGACACAGATCGTCATTTCAGGCTTTGTTCTCCACTCCTATTTTAAAGCCATAAATCATGCAACCACTGGACTTGATGGAGGGATTATTTAGAAGTGGCCTAAAGAGCAGCCAGTGGATGGGGTTGTTTGACTCTGAGGCTATGTTGCCTTCATGGTGGCTCTCAGGAAAAGGGAACATTGCCACCTAGTGAACCTCCCCCAACTGAGGCCTTGGATGACCAAAGACGACACTGGTCACTTTTTCTCTTAACCAAACATCAGTTTTTCAGGTATGCAGTCATTTCTCATACAAATGAATCTAATGACCCTGCTTTAGCTATAGTCATAGCTCCTGCACATACATTGTATGTCCACTGGCCTCAAGAACGGGGCCTGTTTATTTCTATGTTCAGTGTTGTAATCATGCAGAGTGGTCCTGCGCTTCAAAGAGGCTGATAAAGCAAAAGTGACAAATGCGTGAGGGCCACACTTATAACGTGTTGCAAGGGTTGGAGTGTCCTACCCATCTCCCTGTCAGTCTCTATCATCTCGCCTATAAACCGTGCCTTTAACATGTCACGTAAACAAAGACACAGCATTTACTGAGCCAATTAACTGTGTTCTAACACATTAGGCCATGTCCAGGTCCACATGCTTTGGCTGGAGTCATAGACGCTGTCAGCCACTTTACATTCAAGTTGTGTGATTCAGCGGTTGTGGGTGGTCATGAGATTGTCTCATATCTTTTGTCACACTGAGGATGATCTTCAAGAGCTTTGAGCTGCACAGCACAGCGCTGACAGGTCTGATTGACTTGATTTTCAAGGGGAAGACTTATTTGCTTAGCTGACTGTAATGCAAACAGGCGTGTTAGTGCTGGGCTGGGACCTGTGTGAGACGGAGCAACCTATTCTTTCAGTTTTCCTTGTGATAGCAGGAGGCAATAAAGCATCTTTGTACCACGAAGCCACAGGTGTTCCCTGGAGGGGGAAAAAAGAACTCCCACATATCAGGTTAGTTTCAGAAATGTTATCAGCTGATCAGCTTTCAATTTTTACTCGCTTCGGAGGTCCGACCCTGAGTCAACACATTAGGGGGGTAACCGCCGACATCTAGATGGATTGCTGCGATTCCGCTCCACCTCCTCTTCGTCCTCTGTGTCCTGTACCATCCGCATCTCCTGTGGAGCAAGGCAAAGTTCACCAGAGTCTGTACTGTTTGCCTTGACTGTCGAAAAGTCAGCCAGGCTCATAAAACCCTCCATCTGGATGGTCAACAGTTGTTTAATTAGTGATAAAAGCCTAGCTGTAAAGCAATTCTCATGCCACACTGACAGGCTAAGGGCTGGGGTGTGTATTTGTGTGTGTGTGTGTGTGTGTGTGTGTGTGTGTGTGTGTGTGTGTGTGTGTGTGTGTGGTGTGTGTGTGTGTGTGTGTGTGTGTGTGTGTGTGTGTGTGTGTGTGTGTGGGTGGGTGGGTGGGTGGGTGGGTGGGTGTGTGGGTGAGTCATAGACAGAGAACACAAGTACATGCAAGCAGGTGCTGAGACTAATGCTACTCTTAGTAACACCTTACAGTGATTACTTTTCACAATTATAGTGCAGCACATAAATATAAATCTGCAAGTCTTAGTTGATTGACAGAACATTATCGGCTGCTCTTTTTGATTAATTTAAATAATTTTCCTGCAAAAATACCAAACAAACGCTTCTCAATTTTGAGGATTTTGCTGATTTTCTTTGTTTTATTATAACAAACTGATTATCTTATTTTTGTCTGTTGTTTAAACAAACAAGTAATTTAAAGGTATCGCCTTGGGTTTTAGGAAATTGTGGTTGGTGTTTGTCACTATATTTGGACATTTTATAGACCAATCAAGCAGTTAATCAAGACAAAATCAGCAGATGAAGTCACCAGTTGCAGCCCTACATCAATGTATAGTTTTAAGGAATGTCATCTCATACAGTTAGTGAACTAGGCTCACTTTCTTGGTTGGTTTTTCCAGACCTTTCACCCACATCTCATGGTCTTCCACTGGTAGATACAGTTTGATCAGTTGTCATGGAGATGGTTCAGTTGTTATCGTTTAACTGTGAAGATGTTGTCGCATATTTTACATGCTGAAATCTCCGTTCATTGGTCAACTGCATAGAGCTGTTGAAACTTATAAATAGCCCGTGCATTGACTGTTGAATATGTTTTTGGATATAAACATGCATATGCAGGCATTAATTGTTGCCTAGCAACAGCTGCTGTAAATGGGAGAAGATGGATGAGTACTGGGCGGACAGACGCTGAAAAGAAGTCTTTAAAATCAGTCGGTGACCAGGCGCTCCAGCAAATGGAGGTTACTTAGAAACTGGGCTGTAGAAAGACTGAGGTCAGTCCAAGTCTCCAGTTCCATGCCCCCTTAAACATGTCTTTAAAATGCTTAAGGTATTTGGATTTATTATATATATATATTTTCCTAAATGCTGTTTCAAAGCCTTCTTCACTCTGCCGGGGAAAAACATTATAGTGGGGAATATTTTATTTATTGCTCTAAAAGTAGTCCAATTTGAGTAGCCTAGGTCTTAAAACACTGGAATCAATCTATAAAATACCCAGACAGACAAAGTGTCAGATATGTGTGTGTTTCCATGTTTCCCAGCACTGTCTTCCTTTTTTTACTGGTTTCCATTAATTCTCCACGTTAGTGGGAGACATGACTGTATTGATCTGGCTGTTTAACAACTGCGCCCTGTCAGCGTGCCTCAGCCATTACAATACACACACAATTAGCCTTCGCCGACAACACGACTCTATTGTGTATCTGAATGAAACATGCCTCCTTTGTCCCACTAAAATGGTTTTTCTAATTAGTTGCAGGAGTTGAATGACAGCTTTGTCCGATACTGTCACACCGACACGGAGGCTTTTCTGAGTGATATCAACCGCTCATTGTCATCAAGCAGACGAGTGTTCCAGCAGCTGGAGAGAAAGAACGTCTCAGAACCTCAGGAGACAGACTGGGATCGAATACAGAGCCAGGTCAGGAACAAGACGCCCTTTGCTGAACCAGAAGCCACTTCTGACATTAAACAAGGCCCCGTTAAAAATATCTAATCCCAGTTGGATTCCTCATCTCCCAGCCTTGCCTTTCCCTTGACATGTTAACGCTTGCATGGGATACGACAGCATCACAGCTGCTGTGTAGAAAGTACACATCTCTCCAGAGGTGATCATTCACTTTACCAAGTGAATGGCTGTGGGTAGGCTAATAATCCTCCGTGTTTACAAAAAACATGAGCCAGTCTGATAATGCACGGCAGGCTTTTCATCGCCTGGACTGCTGCGGAGAAACTGAATAGACATTAAGATTTGCTGTTCCATAAGGCTCCATTGTTGGCTTTCATTGCAAGCGGTACCATTTTCCATAGAGGGGGCGGGTGTGTGTGCAAAGAAGATGTCTTTTTATTTTTTCTTTATCTGGTGTGAAAAGGTTGAGCACAAGGCAGGAGTGGCTCAGCCTTGACATGGAGTATCAAAGAGTGAATGTGCTTTCAACACATACCTTGCACCTTTTCCACGGGTGCAAACTCTATAAAGAGGAGTGCGGCTCGTTATGAAACATTTAACAACAAGGCATGTTGGCCCCTAAATACTGGAAGCTGCCTCTGGTTAATCATTGGTGGAGCTGTGTTGCTTTGTTTTTATAAGGACCCCTGATGAACATGTTATCACCTCATGTCTGATCAAAACTGTCAGGTAGTGGTTCAGAGTTCTTTATGATTGAATGGCAGTGGCAGGGGTAAACTCACTGTTACTACCTCCTAATCAACATGCAAAAAATGACCTGTGACTATGCAGTTGTTGGTACATCTTCCTAAATTTGCCTCTGTAACAGGAGGTGTTAATATTCTTATGTTTCCTATTCTCACAGGTTATCCAGAGAGATGTCTGGGACTGCCCCATCTGCCTGACTGCTTTGTGCAGCCAAAGCATCCCAACAGAAGCAGCTACATCCAACCATCGTCAACGCAGACACGCCGTGCTTCTGTCCTGTTCCCATCTCTTCCATCAGCTCTGTCTAGAGGCCTTTGAGGCCTATTCTACAGAGAGCCGACCTTCCTGTCCCCTGTGTAGATCTGTCTACCACAAAAAAATCATCTAACCGGGTACAAATTTATGCAAGATGCCATTTTAGATCATCACCTGCAGTAAGTTTTGTAAACTCATTTCATCTCATGTCTGTGCATTAACTATGAAGCTGGAGCCAGGAGGCGTTTACCGTAGCTTAGCATAAAGATGGGAAGCAGGGCGAAACAGCTAGCTTGGCTCTCTCCAAAGTTCAAGTTTTGTGGGGAGGCAGTAGCTCAGTCCGTAAGGATTAGGCTGGGAACCAGAGGGTTGCCGGACCAGAGTTGTGGAGCATGGACTGGTAGCTGGAGAGGTGCCAGTTCACCTCCTGGGCACTACCAAAGGCGGCCTTGAACAAGCCCCTGAACCCCCAACTGCTTGGGACGCTGCACCAAGTGGCAGCCCGTCACTCTGACATGTCTCCGTGTGTTGTTGCATGTGCATGTGTGTGTATTTCAGACCTGTGTGTGTGTGTGTGTGTGTGTGTGTGTGTGTGTGTGTGTGTGTGTATACTAGTAACACCAGAGTGAGAACATTGAATTTCCCCCTGTGGGATTAATAAAGTATGTCTTCTTCTTCAAAGTTCTGAAGCTCACTAATTGAATGACACATTATATTTCATTTGTTTAATTTGTACATAAAAGGAAATGTGTACATGACAGTTTTTGGTTTTATGGGAGTTCTATGCTGTAATTATTTATTGCTAAACAGTGGCCAAGAGCAGTAACTCCCTGCAGTCTTGTCACCAGGAGATTGCCAGACAACCAGCAGAGACTGTGGAAAGTCACTGCCTTGAGTCGCTGATTAGTACTTAGGGGAGTTTTTGTAACACTTTTTCCTTCAGCAGTTATAGCTCGCTGAATTTTGTAGCTAGTTCTCAAATTTTTATACAAAGTACTCACATTTGTTCAGTACAAATGACACCAATTCAGTCCTCTACAAGAATATCACAGACCTCGTGAGTTGATTTAAAATGCATTGTGCTCCCTTGTTACAACCTACCCCACTACCGGGGTGTACATCCTTAGGTCTAACTAAAAAGCTGTGTGTGTGATTGTGTGTATAGTCTTAAACAGATTCACAGTCAGTGCTTGAAGTGGGCCAGTAGCCTACTCATCGGTATGCAGTACCGACAATTCTATACTTCAGTCTTTGGCGTACCGGGTCTTTTTCTTGCACACCGGCACTTCTCACAAGCTGCCTGTACGCTTTTCTGACTTCTCCACCGGTGGAGACTGAGTACGGAAAAGATCGAGTGCCGATACACATGCCAGCATGTGAACAACATGTGAATGGGGAGCACTGGTCACAGAGCTGACAAATGAATGCTAGTAACCTTGGAGTGCAGGCTTGGCGGGCCACATGTCAGACTGCAAATATTAAAATCAAGAACGGCCCTAGTTTTATGTATAGTGGATGTGGAAGTGTTACAACCCACCAACATGTTTAAGGGGGCATGGTACTTCTGTCAGCCATTGTTTAGCTATCTGTATTAGCATAGTAGTTTGAAATAAGAACGGAAAAAGTGTATCACATGTTGCCTAAGAAACTACATTTCAATCTAATATTAATCAAACAATTGTATCTGCAATAATACAGATACTAAACAACATATAGTCTTGGTCAATTTTCTTTCTTTCCTCAAAATCATTTTTTCCCTCTATATATTCTTAATGTACCTGTTTACAGCCCTGAGAACCACCTTGTCTTATGGGAGAGGAAGTAGGTAAATACTGAAATGATCACATGACTCCCATCTTATCTCTAATTGGTGGAATTGGTATTGTTACAACTCTCCCCATGTTACAGCCATACCTGGTCTCCTACAGCATGTTAATTCTCTGTAAAATGACACATTTTTCTTTGTGCATTATTTTTTGTGTGCAGATTAAACAAGTTAGATAGATACATGCAGGTGGAATATTCAACTTTGAACAGAGCAAGACAAACTGTTCTCCATGCTTCCAGTCTGTATGCTAAGCTCTGCTGATTGAGTCGTTGCTCTAGCTCCATACTAGGTGCACATGCATGAGTGGTATAAATCCCCTGAGGGGGTGTGGCTTAGAGGTAGAGCAGGCTGTCCACTAATCAGAAGATCGGGAGTTTGATCTACATGTTGAAGTGTCCTTGGGTACTCGAACCCAAATTGCTCCTAATGGTGGTGAATGATTCCTTTCTTTCATCATGGTAGCCTCTGAAATTAGAGTGTGACTTGTAGTGTAAAGTGCTTTGAGTAGTTGGAAGACTACAAATTGATTGATGAATGAAAATATGTCAACAAAGCATTTTTCTACTTTTATTTGCAAAACACACAAACATCAAAAATAACAGAACATTTAGCAAACTGAGAAATTGTACAAAAAAAAAACCCAATTTATAAACAACTTACCAAGAATTACATGCAGAGACAAACTGACATACAGACAGAAAGCTGCTTCATTTACACTTTTGAAACCCCCACACAACACAGATGTACTGTAAAGGCCACCAGAAAGCTTGCTTGAATAGAAAATGGCCCTTTCAGTTCTTACCTCGGAAGCTACTGCAAAGAGTAGGATTTTGATGTTTTATTAGGGGTATGACACATCCCAGAGCCGAGCTGAGTGGACATATGCTATGACAAATATTCACCTCAAGCCATTTGAGTTAATGTAGTTCACCCAGAAAGTCATAAATTTCTTTTTACTTCCACTAATTCATCCAACAGCTACAATTTTCTTTTGCCAAATTACAGTGTCATCCTATTTGCTTTGCCACAGTACTTTGGGCCATCTTGATTTTTCACAGTATTCAATGATCAGCACGGTCAATAACATGGCTGTAGATACGCACTAAACAACTGAAATGGCACCCAACAGGCCAGAAACTCGACCAAATGTATCTTCCAGTATAATTTGGGTAAGCCTGCACTCTTGAAAATACATTTTTCAAAATCTGAATGTGGTTTGGGATGGTAAGAGTCGTATGTATATCTCTCATCTCAGGACATCCTTGTAAAAGAGATTAAAAATCTCAATGGATTTCTTTCCTGGTAAAATAAAGGTAAAATAAAAAAAATGTATATGTATAAATCACTCTTTACAAAACATTCTCTGGTCCGATTTGCTCATTTGAGAAGATGGCTTCAGCATGAGTTTTGTGATTGAGAGTTGCAAAATTTTCTTCAGATCCAGTCTTTGTAATGTAGCAACAACCAATGACAGGCATCTTTGATGTAAAACATCCTGTCCAAAGAAATAAAATGTTTCAAAAGCATATATAAATTAAAATGTCCTTTTTCATTTATCATCATGTAGTCACCATGAAAACACATGCCACCTATTATACCATAAAAAACATAATTCAATCAGTCAACCCTATCTTAGCAAGTGCTCAAGTTTTATGGGTAATGAATGAATCTCAAAATGGAGCCTGTCACTAGAAAAGAGCTACTGTGACAACATTCATGGCAAAAAGCAACGCGTATGTTATATCCAGCTAGCTTTCGACTAGAAACTCGTACACAGGATCACAGTGGAACTGTCCGAAGACAATGTACACATGTGTACATGTACATAAACACAGAACAAGAAACAACCTTAAGATTAAGCCTGCGAGACGCTTGTCGTTTAAGGCATTTAAGGTGGTTCTGGAGACAAAGAACATCACAGTTCAGAAGATTATGCAGCAATACAACATGTAAATGGGGCCTGAGTCACCAAATCCTGCTATCGACTGCAAAGTTGCAAATTTTTCACTTATGCATTCTGTACGTGAAGACTGTTACAGGTTTGCATTGGATTTTGGTGTTTATAAAAAAAAATATGTACAATAAAATACAGATTGCTTAGTGAGTCAGACCCTCAGTGGGCTCAATGAGAGCTCAATATTTACATACAAATAATGAAAAAGAGGTATGAAACAATATAATGTACATGTAAATACAACATTTACAAAAATGGACACATTTTTCTGTGCCCTGTGAATTTATAATAGACATTTTGGGGGGATGAGCAAAAATGTGATGACATTTTCTTATCATGTGCATAATATTTTAGGAAATACAACCACAGGATCAGCTCTAAAACTACAGCCTTCTGCTCAGTGGAACTCCCATGTAGTTTCCCATTTGTAGCTGAAGTCTAATCTAGAGCACCTAAAATAAGTTTTTACCCTACTTCAGACAAACTAATGACATCATCAATAAAGTTGAAGCGCACTTGAGTAAAGCAAAATAAAAAGACAAATGACAGCACGAGTGCTAAAATCCTATAGGTAATGACAGCGCTAATGCATATGTGAACTGTATTGCCGTTTAATGTACTAGCTGTGATGAGTTTTGAATAAATGACGCCTTTCATGCTTCACAAAGCACCTTTTTGTTGTTTTCACATTTCGAGCTTATACAAATAAAAAAAAATGACACATCGACACCTTTATGTCATTCACATATCAATCAAAGAGCAATGATTACAGACCATACACTGCAAATGCTCCATTTATCACCGACACTGATAACTGTGGATGTACTGACATTTAAAAAAATAAGTCTAACTGAATTGTGGGGGTCTATTTAGTACAGATCTGTACAGTACAGAGGAGGAGCTGGGTGATGGAAAATAACCCATTGCCTTTTACTTAGATATAAGACACAAGGTGCATTGTTTCACCTGCTATACCCTCTTGCTTTTGTCTAGTGCAGTGGTAAGGAGTTTGTGGAAGAAAAACAGGTAGCGATGCTGGGGAGTGCCCCTGAAGCAAGAGATGGGTGGTTTAAAGTCACAGTCACGGTTGAGGTCAACATCAAGGTCACTGCAGTGATGCCAGTCTATTTCACTCCTCAGTCTCATCCTTGGCTCTGCCCCAGCTTCCATCGGAGACGCAGAGGATGGAATGTCACGAAGCTAAATTGCTCTCAGCCTCCATTTGCAGCATCCGTCAGACACTGCCTGGGTTTATTAAGTTCCTTCCAATCCCTTTCACCTTTCAGCAGTCAGGCAGTACTGTCGAAATCTCCCTTTGGCTGTGCTAAGGTGTGTAGGGGTGCGTGTGTGTGTGTTGATCTATCGTCCCTTTCACAGAGTTTTCTGATGCCCGTTGGCCGAGAGCTTCCCAGATTCAGGGTCTGTGGGGCTGTTTGACAGTTGCAATTTATCCAGACCTGGGCAGGGGGAGATAAGGGAGAGAAATCTCATTAAAAAGCCTCAGACTTTCACTTAGACAGAGGTATTGATGTGCTTTTCTCTCCTCAGTGCCTCTGTCTGACATTTTCTAACCCTATCCCACCCCTGTGTATCAAACATCCAGGGCCTGTCACAGCAAGCCTTTGAGACTAGCCCCATCCTCTGTCACATGTCAGTCCTGCAGCACATTGGATCTCGCTGCAGTTTCTTCCATTTTGTCACTCCAGGTCGTGCTGTCAGAGAAATAAACGCTATCTCTCTCTAAAGCCACAGAGTAGGTTGGCGCTGTCAGTGTTTCAGACCAAACCTTTGTGGATATAAAATTGGGATGAAATTGAGTAGTCAAAGTGTAAAAACAACTGCTTTATATTCTACAGGACATCCAGCATAGGAAAGACAGGATTGTTTACCAGACGTTTCATGACACTGAAAGAATATGTGGTGCACTCTGGAATTATTTTGTTGCAGTATATTAAAAAGTTGCAGGACACATGAAAAGTAAATAAATAAATTTACCTAAGGCCTTTAGAAGCTCTTCTCGTACAGCTGAGGTGAATTTTCTCACAAGACAGAGTGTCGTCACGACCGCAAATAGCAGGTTGTATGAAATAACAATGTAAATGTTTCCCAGCCAATTGAATCTCCCAAAGTCTCCCAAGAGATCAAACCTGGTGATACCTGTGAAGGGACAAGATACACGTCAAATAACTGGGTTAGAAAGTCATTGGGAAAAATGTAATGCGTTGATTAGGGCTATGACAAACAACACAATAACTGTTTCGGTTTCACTTTCAAAGCAAAGCAAAAGTCTTTCCAGCAAAATCATGAGCTTGCAGCAAATGGGACAATTTAGGAACGTCTGTTCTGTTAAGGCACTTAAAAGTCTCTCTCTCCAATGGTCTAGCTCTTTAAACAAGTAAAAAGGCTAAATCTGGAACAAAACCATACATGTAAAAAATGTTTTATTTGCGTTTCAGGTATAATCTTAGAGAAAAAAAATGTGACTTGATGTTACAGTGTTACAGCCCTATGTGTGTTTTTTTCATATACAAAGGTTCCGTTTGTGGTCTCATTTGGCCAAAATAAAGTGGTACAATAGAAAGAAAGCCACTCCCAAGTCTTCCATAGAATCAGTCACCAGAGTCAGCCACTAAACCAACAACTATCTAATACAAACAATAAACTAGCACAATCTTGTAAGTTTCCACAGAGCTGACGGGGTTGCACAATTTCTGACAGTTTTCAACTCAAAATTAGAGATTAATCTTAAAAGAAACCAGTACTTGATATTTTTCTACTAATAATAATTTTTTGCCTTAATATATAAATATGCCTGACAATGCCATCATCAAAACATGACAAGGTTTATGCATCTTGATTGATGTCTTACACAAACCACTGATCCACTGCAGTACAAAGTTTATGCTTATTTTCATCCCTTGACTGTCTTGGTTAGCAGTAATGTAAGGACTGTTGGAATATGAAAGGACAGGTGACTAAGTATAGCAGCAAAGGTGGTATGCAGGTGGACTTCAACTCTCTAATAAAATAAAGGAGCAGTGTCTCCTGCAGGCTTCTCTTAAAAACAGAGTTTTAAAACAAAAACAATCTCAGTCCACACCACTGTTATATCTGTGTTTCAGGACTGATCTAAATATATTAAGATATTAAAAAGACTGAAAACGCACATCTAGTGACCATTCATGTACACTGGAAATGTGCATGCCAGTGTGAACAGGAAGCAGATTGTGTGCTCCGCTGTTGCAGAACATTTGGCGAAAGAATAAAGCAATACCAGAGACGAAGAACCACACCAGAGATTTATTTTGTATGGATTGACAACAAGGTGGAACTGTTACTGGAAGTAACACGGGAGTACAAGGCGACTGTGGCAGTTAAAAACAGCCAGGGAGTCGCCACAAAGTAAATACGGCGACATGCAGTGTACGAGTGTATAAGTTTTATTTGCAAAGTACAAAATATTTTAATAAAAATACCAAAACTAAAGCACTGACAGTAGTGTTGTGTTTTTGCTTTGCATGACTGATCAGACCCAATCAGGAAGCCAAATGTGAGAGTCTGCGCCATCATTTTTAAAGTCCTCTGTTTTCACCTGTCCACACTAAACACCATGCCGGAGTTAAAACAAAAATGAGGTTGGCAGCGTTTTCAAACTTCTTTGTTTTAGGTCTTCGGATTCGCCATGTTTGTCTGGACAGGAGGCGCAAACGTAGCTAAAGGTATCCGTTTTAAAACAAATACTAGGAACAAGTTCAAACCATCTGTCACAGATTGCTGCCTGGAAAGCCATCGAGACCCTATTGTTTTCCTGCTAATCCATTTTGGCCTGGGTGTTCCTGCACTCAGTTTTAATTAAGCTTTCAACAACCTGGTGTGTACAATGTTACTTAAGGCATTTGTCTTTTTAGGTTAATTTCGCATGCAACATTGACGAAAGAAATTACTGCATCAATATGTTTAAACTCCACAACAATGTTGCATTTCAGTCATTTGTATGCAGAAATGACATTCAGATGTGGCACACTGCAGAAGCACGAGTCTGTATGTTCTACTTCTCCTGTAACATCTTCACAACCTCTGTCGTCAATTAGATTGGGCAATCGATTCAGTGTCTGGAGAGATGTATTTACCGCCGCAGTAAGCAGTTTGCAAGCATCAAGGACCTTTAACAAAATTGCCTGTGAAGAGATAGGGAGAGAGATGATTGAGACCCCAGTCGATACAGCTTGCCACTGTGGTAGGGCTACATCCATTTCTAATTCCAAAGGTTTTGATCTTGGTTTGGTAATTTGAGAAAATCTAATTGGGGGTAAAAAGACGCTCTGCATTTGAAATGTCAGGTGTAGGGTGGCAGAGTTGGAGACATTAGCAAGCATCTGGGCGTGCATCTAAGACCTATATGTTGGATTCATGAGAGTTTTATGGCACAGTGAAATTATTTCCTATGCATGTGAGCAACACTTCATATGTGAGGCTACTGGTGTTTGTGTCATGCCTGCTTCCGACTATTAACAGATCCAAACATCTTTACATAAAAGGCCTATGCTCATGACCAATTGACCTCAAAAAGGAGCAACAAGCTATTCAAACAAAAACAAAAGATCGTGTGGTGTCCTGTTGGCCCAGAGGTTTAAGACGCTGACCATATATTTAAAACGTCCCTGGTTCTGGTCCAGCAAGGGTCCTTTGTCGCATATCACCCACTCGTCAGCACTATACTGTATCCAATGCCTTTACCAAATTCTGCTGCTCACCAGCTAGTCGCTAACTGTGTCTGTCTCCTGTTTGGTGCTGAGCAGGTAGTGTACAGTGAGTGAGAGTGAACCAAAACAACTTTGGTTAGCTTGACAGCTAACAATGAGCTGAAACTGACTATAAAAAGCAGAGGGGAGTTGCAGATATAGGTGATAATTCTCTGCAGGCTCACCCCTTTCACATTGTCTTTCATTGTAATTTCATAGTGTTTATTATAAAAATGCTGATTACAGCCACTTTAAATAAAAATGTTATGGGTTCACTTTTCTGCACTAGAGACAGAAAGAAACATACACAGTGTGTCACTACATTAGTGAAATAGACAGGCTTTAGAGTACTCTTTGCGTTGCTGTACAGTTCTCGTACAGTGCATGTTTCCCACACTGAGACACACAAAAAACACCTCACATCAACCCACAAAACCCTTTCTTGTCTTTTTAACATCTCACTTCGTCACACTCAACTCTCCATGTCTTTTTTTTCCTCCTTTTGCTGGGAGGCCTTTTCTCTTCAACTCTGTCTCATGCATTTATTCCTTTTAATCTATTCAGCGTCACAAAGCAGAACCTGTTGATATTTTGTAAAGCTCCCAATGAGTCACTGTATGCTCACTCCGTCCCATTTTCCCCACTGTGTTGGTCTCTCTCACACACACTCCAATACACACAAACACACACACACACAAACACAGTGCTATTTGAACAGCTGTGCTCTGCACTCTGCATGTTTATTAGTGCCATTGTGATGGTGCTACTCCTCTCATTTTTACCCCTTCACCCTGCAATCCTTTCTAATGTCACTATGTGAAACTTCAGGAGAATTCAACTTGCTACCTTTAATGGTCTGCTGTTGGTGGCTGCACTGAAAACTGTTGTGGGGGAGGGGCATTAACTCTTTGTGGTTGTTTGTGGCGAGGTTGTTATTACATTATATTATATTTACTCACTTGGCAGACACTTTTATCCAAAGCAACTTACATTTGAGGAACATCATACAAGCATCACTACAGTAAGAGATCTACAAGTGACAATAGATACTAGTAAGAGTTAATAGTACATATAGCATCAATGGTGTAAATACCCAGGGAAAGAAGGAAGAGTTAACGAAATACTGCAATCAATACAAGAGAAATGTAAGGAGATAGAAGAAGAAGAGCACAGGTGTGCAGGTTAGAGGAGTTATAAGAGAAAGTCTTATCGGAAGAGATAAGTTTTCAAGAGCTTCTTAAAGTTAGAGAGGGATGCCCCTGCTCAAACTTTTATGAAATTGACATGACATGAAAGATGCTTATTCTCTTTCTTGCTGAGTTAAGAGTAGAAGATTGATACCACTTGTGTGTCTTTCTGCTTAATATGATGCTACAGCCTGCAATCGGTTAGCTTAGGTTATATTTGCTCTAACATGTTACATCTTGTTTGTGTAATCCATACAATGTAAAAAAGTATTTGATGCAAATATAAGAAGTTTGCAGGAGGGGTATTTGCAGGACTATTTCTTGTCTGAGTTTTTGTTCTTGTTAAAATATGGAGATACAACGTATTAATTAGTGAGCTTTAGCGGTGCTGATTGGTGGATTGTGTTACCTTCGGACAGAGCAAAGCTAGCAATTTTCCCCACTTTAAGTCTAAACTCAGCTCGCCAGCTGCTGTTTATAGCTGCATATTAAGCAGACTGATAGCTGTGTGGTTTCAATCTTCTCATCTAACTCATAGCAGAACAAGCCTATTTCCCAAAATGTACAGCTGTTGCTTTAAATATATAATATGTACACAAGCTAGATGTGAATTGTGAAATTAGTATGCACACTCTCCAATACAGGCAGGCAAACACACAAACATGTACTCACCAAGAGTTCTGGACATCACTGGCAGGGCTGAACTCAGGACCAAGATGGACACACAGCTACCAATGATCTACAAAGCGTAACAGATAATCAAACTTCAGATCTCTCAAGCACACAATGTAGTTTTTAAGGAAGGAACTATGAGACTTGTGAGTGAAAAGCACCCATTGCACCAACACTGTCAGCCATGACGTGCCCACACATATGCACACACCACTTGATGTTAAATTGGTTCCACATATTGTACAATTAGTACCTCTGAAGTTGCTCATTACCAGGTTTTCTCTGTTGTCCTTTCAAGCCCTTTCACTGGAGCGTCATGGCTAGTTAACAAGCCTCACCACTCCCAAACTCATTACCAAGTGAATAGGTGCCACTATGGGCCAAACAGAGCACCCCCCCCCCCCCCCAAAAAAAAAGAAACCCACTCTCCTTCTGATGTACAAGAAAGAGGTTTGCCAGTGTTTGCACAACCCACAAACAAATATTGGACAGATCAACTAAAGTCATGCAGGGGCTCTAAGGAACACATTAGCGAGCAGTAGGAGTTCGGAGTACAGAGAAAGGGGAAAAAAAAGAGGAAATGGATGAAACACAAAGGATCCCAAAAACATTGGCACCTCAGGAGCAATCTCAGCACCCTTGCCCCCAGTTCACCCCGCATCCCGTCCTTCCATCCCATCTTTACCGTTGTCATGGTTGTGTCATCCTTCCTGGGAGTGAGTACCTCAAAGACTCGTAGGCTGTAGAAGCCAACGACAGAGGACACCATCAAGTAGCTGTTCAGCAAATCAATCAAGGACCAAAAACACTTCTCGGCTGGTAGCAAAGCAGTCGTCTTTCAAGTATCTTAAGTCTGCACCTTTTCAGCTACGATAAAAGGTGACGAAACTGCACTACATGTCTTCCGGATGCTGTCCGGCTGAAGTATGTCCTCGGTAAACAAAGCTGGCCTGACAATGTTGCTCTTGGCTGTGGTGCATGCTACTTCGGCCACAGATAGAGGGAAAGAGGGGGGTGGGGGGCACTGAAAGAAAGGATACAACATGAGGATGATCTCTAGCGCTGCCTGAGCCACGCCAAATGTGGACAGAGAGGTGTTCTTGATGCCCCTGTCCTGGGAGATGAAGACAGACAGAAAACTGGGTTATTTAATATCATCACACACCACATAAACACATCACAAATAAAATTAAAAAAAAAGAAAGAAAAGAAAATGGGAAACGACAGGCATTTGCACACACATGCAATTACAGAAATCCTGCACAGTAAGTATGCGGTGCATGAAGAATTTCCCCACTTGAGAAAGACAGAATCAAATTGGCTAAGTAATGAATGGAACAAGATGAAAGAGGCTCTTTTCAAATCACTGTCGATCATACAATATGTGAACAGGTGTTCAAACAAAAACGGCACATTGCTTACGGTAAGAAGAGTGTACAGGCTGAAAGCACGCCAAAAACATAAAAACAACACAACAAATACTTCAGCAAACACACTAGGCATACCCCTCACCCCCCTTACAACCCCTAAACCCCTGAGGCCTTTTGAAAGTGGAGCAGGAAAAACACATACATCTACATACGCCGCACATACCAAACATCTGTGTCGTCCAATGATAAATATTTGCCTTTGTCGGACTTGGCACCAGGGTTGATCCGCCAAAGCAGTGTGTCGTGTGGGGCACCTACAGTACTATGCATTATGTCCACAAGTAAGAGGTGAACACTGACTGCTTACTTTTAACTTAACACAAGCTATACTAATACTTACTTATGGATCAAAGTTGTTTAAAAACTGCCTAAAACTGTAAGCTGCATATTCAGATCTTGTAGATAATCACATTAAGATATATGAAGCATATTGGATTACAGCTGTACTGTATATTCCCAACCTTTATATAATCTGCAATACTCCTATCCTTTATCTCTGTATAGTGTGTACATAAGCTGGTTATGTTCACTTTGCCATACCAATGCATGACATCAGTGCACAGTATATAGAGTATGGTGCTAGTTTTTAATTTATTTTTTATTGTATTTTATTTCTTTCTTACCCATACCTTGAGTGTCTTCATGTTGATTTGTTTTGTAAAAGAGTCCGAAGGAAGAAAAAAGAAGAAGAAGAAAAAAAAAAAAAAAGAATAGCCTGGCAGGTTGTTTCATGCCTTTTTATGCAACTGTCATCCCTGGGAGCTTACTGCAGAACCATGGTGCAGTGCTCTTTCTCTCTTACACAGGGAATTAGCAGACAGCATCTGATGTAATTTATTAATGGAGGGAGGGAGGGCAGGCATGCATTAAGATTGTGTGTGTGTGTGCACTGGCAATATGCGTGTATGTGCGCGCTTAGGACAGCTAGCTTTCCTTTTCAACTCTCTTTTTTTCATTCCAGTAGTGGTGATGGAGTGTGTGTGTTTATGTGTGTCAAGAGAGAGTTGTTGGTGGAGTCGGGGGGCTGGTAGATTCGCCTGTGCTTTGCTGCTTGTAAGATTAATACCTCGCAATACCTGTGCACTAGCAAGGTCGTCAGTGTTGTACTAACACACACACACACACACACACCCCATCCTGACCATTTCACCTCAGGTGGGTCCCTTTACTTCTACCTTTCACAAAGTTATGACTCTTTCCCACTCCCTCCAAACCCTTATCCACTGGCACACCAGATAATTGCTATATATATATATATATATATTTTTTTTTTTAACCACAGGTAGTTCTAAAAGTGCATGGGCGTATGAGTGGGAACCATCATAAAGCACTTTTACCCCTTACTCTCCATTGTTGGCTTTGACCAAGATATTGCCATTATTTAACACAGTGCATAACGCATACAAACACACACAAAACAATACAGAAACACATCACCAGCACAGTTCCACTTGTCAGCATTTGCACCTACAGTGTACAGAAAGATGGCGCTCCATGAAAAAGTTTCTTCACAGCCCATAGAGCATGCACACTAGAGTCCTTCTGTGGATGAGCAAAGCGTGCACATTCAAGACTTCCTCTGGTGAGTGGACAGACTTCTTGCTGGCTCCCCGCACACATGAATAGGATAAAATTATTACTGATTCTAGACTGGCCCCTGATGCTGGGGGCTCCCAGTTTTGAGACAAATCAGCAACAAACCCAATTTTCATGAGGCAACTAACATCAAGATCATTCTGTAGACTGTTATATTTAAAACTCACATCAGTGCATGTGTCAGTCAAAAACAATGGTACAGACACTAATTGGTTTACCCTCCTCCGTGGATAGATGATTAAAAGACTGAAGTGTGTCCATCAATACCCATATTATATTACTGATCAATAATGAAGTCCGAACTTTGTTTATATTTTCTGTTGCTATAACTGTAGAGAGTGGATTATAGATTATAGACACATTAATCTATTCATGTCTGAATCAGAAATGGGAGGTATTCCACAGGCACATTTAGACATACTGCTCCAATCCTACCCATATTGTGGCTGTATCTTGAATCATTTAAGTAATTAAAGCGATGTGTTGTGCTTGCTATCTATTCTTTTGGCCACAGTGGTTTCATGTATTTAATCCCACTTCATCTTGCCATAAAATGTCAACATCATTTATCCATTTTTTTAAATTTTTTTTTACTGTAGAGCTACAGACATTTCTTGGCAAAGAGTGGAACAACTGGAGTCTCAGAGCTATGTTGACTTTCACTGTAACACCATCTTGACAAATTGTTCTTTATGTCAGGAATCAGTTTTAAATAATAAGTGCGAGGCCAGATGACAATGTTGAGATATCTAAACCAAAATAGAATCAAACCTTTCCCTCTAGTTCTGGTAAGTGCGAACCTTACAGCATCATTGCTTAAAGATTTTAATATTATCATGATCAGAATGGATCGTTTTTACATTAATTTTTAGACAAAACTTGAAAGGTCAAAGCCAACATGTGCGTTGCAGGGAAAGTCTAAAGCGCTATTGTGGAAGTTTATGTGTGTTTAGAGAAGGGCAACTTTAGTGAGGCAGAAATTGCAATCCAGTTGCAGCTAATCGTCCACTTTACAAAATACAGTGTCAAGTGTTGTGGCTACCAAAGAGGAGGGTCTGTAGTAACAATTTTATTGGTCCCTCTTAGTGCTTGTTCGTTAAGCTGTAAAACACTGTGTCCTTTGACAGAGGCAGCTCCAACACCCCTCTCCTCCTCCCTTGTTGTTTCTACAGCACCTCTGCATTCTCCTAATCTCCATCCACCTGCTTCTTCTCTCTCACTGCTCCGCATTATCCTTCTCCACCTCCATCCTCTGTTCTGTGGAGGCAATTGGGGCACTGCTCAGTATGCTAAGGACTACAGCGGGATGCTTAGTAGAAAGGGAACACAAACATTGACAGGGCACTTCCATTGTGCCCCCCCACCTCCCACAACAATCAGCGCATCGGGGCCTCATTTGACTTTCCCACAGTCTGAGTCTCTTTGCTCCTCCAGTACCTCCTCCAGACCTCAGATCAGCCGCTCTCTCTACTTCTTCATATAACTTTCTCTCCTCTGTCCTTCTCTCCATGTGTGGGTAAGTGCAAGGGAATGTTTGTGCTACAGAGGCAGAGTGTCAGAGCTATAAGGTTAACGGGGTAGATAGATGGATATCATATCAGTATCGATTGTTTTGGAGGACTAGACCCCCCCCCGTAGTGCTGTGAGATCAGAGGTGTGGCATCCATCCAGCTCAACAAACGCATAAACCATTTAGTGGGGCCACACTGTCAGGGAGGACAGCTTCAAGCTACATGACAAGTGTAATTTGGGGGATTTTCTGCGATGCGTCATGCCAAAGAAAACATCTCTGCTCAATAAAATAATTGGAATGTCGAGGGCAGCGCTGTCAGTTGCCCGTGAGATGCGAAATGAAATGATGGAGAAATACGATACATTATGTTGCCCCCTCTCCAACAAGAATGCAACCACAACCGCGCACGCACGCACGCACGCACGCACGCACGCACGCACGCACGCACGCACGCACGCACGCACGCACCTCTGTCACTGCAGATGAGATTTGTGATAAGGGGAGCTTAAAACACATTGCATGTTAGGCGGCGATGACAATCTCTGTTAGTCTGCCTCACATTAAGAGCCCTTCACCTGGCCCTGTCTGCTTTTTACAGGAGCGAGGAAAAACCCACTGTAGACTTGAGACACGTAGCGAGCTCAATGAATCTGCACACTGCTGTGAAATGACTTTCAATGAGCTTCCAAAACAAAACCAGAGGCACAAGGTTGGGGTCTGATTAACATCTGCTCGGGCCTTTTCTTCCAACGTGCATCTGAGCATATCCGGAATTTGATTTATGTCTCTGCCAGGAACATGGCAGGTCTGATAGGCAAGCTCTTCTGCAGTTTACATTCTGGCCATGTGTGTGGGGGGTGAAATGTACATCAGTTAGCCAGGAGGATTACCGTGGATCCTTTGGGCATGGCAGTCTCATCCACTAGAAGGTAGAGGATATTCAATGCCACCATTAGAACTGAGATTGTCTGCAAACAGAGAGGAAGATAAAGATTTGTTTACACATGGCATACTTATAAAAAGATTGATCAAATCCTCAAAGTATCTGGCATCATGATATAATTGAATTGCGGGGGCCTTGCTGATCCGTAAGTATGGTAATGCATAATAACCATCTTGTGATTGTAAACTGTTCCAACATTAAGCTTCTCAAAGCCTGAACAATGTGGGGGTTGTTTGATGCACGTGCCATGCCTCTCACATGGCCTTACTGCCTTATTCAACAATATCAGACGGCATAAATAGTATTCCCACACTATAATCTTTTGAAAATCACAGTTGTTGCAGGTGGCTATTCAGCATTGTCTTAAACAGCTATTAGACAAAAGTAGTTTCCACACCCAGAGTCTGTGGGAAAACTGCAAGAGGATGGGGTTTGAGGTACAGGGTGTTAGTCCCTATGGCCACCAGCCAGGCTGTATGTACGCCATGAGTAAACAGTTTGGGCTTAATGATAGGTCAGTCCCAGCACTCACCGTTCCTGCGAGCAGGATCAGCATCACTATGGGATACAACAAGTTCTTCTCCCAACCTGATGCCTTCTTTCTTCTCTCTGAGAGGAAATTAAAGAGAGACAAAATGTGAGGTTATTAGTCTAAAGAAATCTATGTATAAGCAACTCTTTAATAACAAGACTCAGGGATGAGCTAAACTCCTCCATTACGAACAACTTTCCACGGCTGGTTAATTAAGATATTCATCAAAGACAACTACTGAAACTTCAATCCCTCTGGCTTTATTTACAGGGTTTGTACAGCTTGGTTTGGTAAAACATATCTTGTGTGTGTGTGTGTGTGTATCAAATACAATCTCACCTATCATCGCAACCACCCCCTCCAGGTAATATCCTTTTCATAACCTTCAAAAATGATGCACTTCCTCTTTAATTAGCCACACTCATCATTGCCTTAATTAGTGGAAACGATAATAAATTCTGGATGAAAAGAAATGTAGCAAAATTAATACTGTGATTTATATTTTTGGTCAGAATGTGTGTGTGCGTGCGGCGGGCAACTAATGTGCCTCATTCTTCCGAGCCAGATGAAACATTTCAAGTTTATATCTTCCATCTTCCTCTTATTTCAACAGCTCATCAGTCATGATTGTAGACACTGCTGACAGCCTGTAGACCACATGCACTGACTGTTCTGTTAGGGGCATCCACAGTGCCCTTACAATGTGTTTCTGACTGCCCTCTAGCCCTTGCCATATTGACTTTCTTTCTCCATTTCCAACCTTGTTAGTCCTCCTTATTCTCAAAGTGCACCCACCCTGCCTGCCCGAGAAGTTTGCCAAGTGCACTTTATATGCACCATCCTTCTAAATTAATGACATCACTAAAAGGCTTGCTACAATATAAAGTTTGCATCTTGTCCAATATCCTAAGTGCCTTTGTGCTCCCCCCCGCCACCACTACCCCCACCCTACTCCCCAAAAGGCTCAGGCCTCATTTATAATATCCTAAAATGGATGGAAAATTATCAGGCAGTTCTGGTCCAAGTCCAAATTAAGAAATTAAGGCAGACGGGGAGAAAGCAGTAGCCTGTCAGCAATATGAAAAAGGCAAACTTCTTGGCATATATTTCCATGGCAATTCAAGGTCTTAACACAAAATATATCAGCCCTGTTGTACAATACAAATACTTACCCAATTTATTCCTCTGATTTCTAATATTGTCCAGTTCTTTGTTGAGCTGGTGAGCAAGGCTTCCTTGAGTATATGTGTGTGTGGACGATCCTGCGGAAACAGAGACCACTGAAATTAATTACATTTGTTGCATGATTAGATGTTGTCTAGGGCTGCAGATAACAATTATTTTCATTATCGATAAATATGCAATGGTAAACAGTTCTGAGATTCTTGCTTTGTCTGCCCAACAGTCTAAAACCAAAAGTTCTAAATGCTAAAAAACACATATGTTTGAACCAGAAAAGGTTTGGCTTCTGTGCTTCATTAAACAATCAAAATGATTAATCGATTATCAAACTAGACAAATGTTTTTTAAGAATTGACAAATAGTTTCAGATTTAATGTCATTTGAACAAACATACTGCATCTGCACGACCACGTAAACTCTTGATTCAGATGGAAAATGGTATTTTCAGACATTTCTCGTACACCAAATCAGTAGAAACAGAATGACTTAATTAAGAGGATGTTAACTTCTCACTGTATGTCTTAACTCAGCATATGGCATTTGACTTTATCTTTATTAAGAACACCCATCAAAACAAGTAATCCTACTCAGAACATAACAATGTGATCTCAAACAAGTAAAAATAATCTCTTGTGTCAGGAGCTGTCTAGCACATGCCACAACTGGTTGAATGGGCTGGAGAAGACAGCAAGGGATTCTCCAGGAAAACCACAAGGCCAGCTCATTTAAGGCTAATTTATCTATTTGACTCTTGTTTTCCTTCCAACTTGACGCACTAGCGTAAAGGCCCCTAGGAGCCAAAGTGGAAGAGTATCCATTTGCATCCCCTGGGGTGATTGGCAGATCAAGACCAATTAGTCCCCGTGTTACACCGTTACTAGCGTGCAATAAAAATACCATCTTTCATCTTTGTTACAGGAGTGAAGGACCAATCACTTTGATCAAACCTTTTTCTTCCCCCTGTTATTATGACACGCCCTGTCTGGATGGGTTTAAGTAGGCAAAAGAGGTGAGATAGACGGGGCAAGAGAGAGTTAACAGTCGTGTCTGTGCCCTCGCAGATACCTGTCCCAGGATCTAAGCAGGGGAAAGTTTGAACCCTCCGAGCAAACGCAATCGCAACACAACAGGAAATGTCACGGACAGTTCAACAGCTCTTTTACAGAGACGAACTGCCTCAGGGTAGCCAAATCTGCTTAGCCGCAAGTGAAGTAATCTATCACCTTTGTGCATAACATATCTAAACATGGCCTTACTCGTCACCCAGGACAGATAAATGATTGATAAAATGAATAGTAGTTTCTTAATATTCATCAAAAATAGCAGATCTAACTGAAAACAAAGAACAATATCACCACTCTTTTAGGGCTGTACAGGAATACGGTGATATATTCTACTGCAGTACATGCAATGACATCACTCCAAACTGAAGTTAAATATATCCTCCTTCTCCTTCTGCTGGCAGCATCAAGTAAAGCACTGAGTTACAACGAGGCAGAGATGCTGAGTGAGGCTTCTGGCAGCCAGGAAGGGCCAGAGTAATTCAACGTATCCTCTCCAACCTTCACCACAGCTGAAAAATTACGTCATCCACACATATGCTAAACACCATGCTGAGACAACAGAGGCACCGGCAAGGTCATTGTGCCGCATAGCATCTGGACAGGCGCTCTGTTGCTCTGCTATCAGCAGATCAGGGTCTTGAGAGGGCAGTGTGGAAAAGTGTGTGTGCCACATTGCCTGTACTGCAGTATATTTGTGCACTCCGGTTACTTGATTGTGCTTTTACAATTTCTTCTAAGCTAGTAACCCGTTTATTTCAGAAACACAATGGTCGTTTAATTGGTTACAATCTACAGGCATTATTTGTTGACAAAGATTTTATCATAATTATGTTCTAACTTAGATTTGTGAAGTGATCCACTGTTTAGCATCTAGTGTTGACCATAATTAAGAGTTTAAACCACAATTAACCATCACGTTTCTTCAACTTCCACCCAGGACCAAAAATCAGCCTTTAAATTCAAACGAAATAACGATTTGATACTTTTCGTGATATGAAAGACATGAAAATTTTTATCGTGATAACATTTTTGGCCATATCGTCCAGCCCTACCTCTATCCACCTATCAGTAGTCATGGTTCTGATGTGAAGCAAGTAGAAAATCCCCAAATCATGAAACCAGACAGAATGGATGGATGCATAAGATTTCAGCTGTTTATGTGACAAAATTCAATTTAAAAAGGAGACAAGGCCAGTTGGGCTAAGTCTTCCATGAGTCAAACTAGCTCTGAACAATTTTGAAAAAAATATCTAATTGCAATTATTTTGACTGATATTGCAATTGCAAATTGCTTGTCATATTGGAGATAATTTTCATTTTTACATAATTATTCTCATTTTCAATGTAAAAAAACATATTTAGATGATTATGGTGTGATTTTTGCAGGGATCTGTACAAAAAAAAAGATTGGTATATAGCACTATAGCGTTAGGCTATATTGCAATTTCAGTAAAATTTCAATTTCGTCATTTCTGCTTTTTGGAGCAAGCACATTTGGCCATTTTTGCTTCAAACATAACTTTACAAATGACAAACTTCTGTAAACTTAAGCCTCAATACATTTAAAAGCAGTGAAGGAAGGGGTCAACATTGTGTAGCAAGCCAGTAGGTAAATTGTAAAAAAAATAAAATAAAAATAGTTCTCGTAAATTAAGTGTTAGAAGCTTATCTGGTTCATCATACCCTTTATAAGGAAAACAGACACATGTCCAGTAAGCCAATTTAGGCCATAACCATCTGATCCGCAAGATTTTAAATATCAACACTGTCATTACAAATGGGCAATTACATGTAGAGGGAGGACAACAAAGGGCCAGATGTGTAAATAAACACTGATGCATCAACTGATGTGGCTCAACAGCCCACATCTACAAACACAAACTGGGTAAGAGGATAATCTATTAGAGGAGCTGGATGCGGAGCGGACACAGGTGAAGCAAGAAGACAACATTGCTCGCCTCTGGAGTGTGTCCTGTGAACTGTTCCTGAACCGCTGTCTGCTCAGCGCTCTCAGCACATCAAAGGGACACCACTCTAGTGCCTGAGTGGGCGTGAACGTTGAGTGTGTGCATGTACATACAGTATGTGCATAAAAACAGTCATGTCAACATCCTCTAATTTCCACCTTTTTAACAGGCAAAAGTGGATGGCAGCTTGGCCTCTATGGACACATTAAGATGTTGACCACAGTTGTTTTTTTTTTTGCCCCACAGAGTCTTGTAAAGATCAAACAGTGTTGGAGATGATAAGAAACAGATTACAATTATTCTATCAGTTAGTTCAAAGCAGAACAGTGTGGAATGAGCCCTAAAGAACCATACGCATTGGTGACAGTCTATGAACGTGGCCGGCATGGCATTCAAAAACATTCGTTATCAGGGAGCGATCTCCCTTACCTCCCTGGTTTGAAAGACACTCATCCCTCCTCATTTACTCGCATCTGTACACTTGGTTGCGTGCTTGAGTTAATATTAAAGTAGGTTTTGGAACTTGGCCCAAATACTTCCTGCTTTTTGAGATTATTCAACGTCAAACAAGGAATTTGGGAACACAGAGGGCTGGATGTGAAAAGGAAATGCAGGCGAAGAAAATAACATCTTTGCCATCCTTAAACTCTTTCAACTTTCCCTTTGTGGATGAATCCAGAAAACAGCGTAAGGCTCCTGGTATCCTTTGAGAAGTCACTGAAAAGTTGCTTTAATGTCCACAGGACCAAGCCAAAAGTTCTCGTAAAATATTTCATTTCCATCCTATTACCCAAGCTACCATTCTGGGCCTGACATTAAATGGCAATCATTTCGCCAGCAGTGACAGCAGTACTGGAGTGTCCTAAATGGATCCTTAAAAACTTCCTTAACATAAAATATGGTCCTTGTCATTGTGGCTGCTTTGCCCTTTAGCAGAAAGTTATGAGTGTAAGACAGCGGTGGGGAACGGCCCGTGTTGAGCGTGTGTGGATTTTTTTTCCCAGTGTCTGTGAATGTCTGTGTGCCTGGCTGAATTTTCAGTGTTAATTGATTCCAGTGTGGCGCGCTCCATCACACCCAATAGGGCAGTCAACCCCTCCCCTCCCCTGTAATGTGCCAACACGTCTCCCACAGACATACCGTTTAATCTCCTCTGAAGGGCTTCCTCCTGCAAATGGATGCAGTAAATCTGCTCATCCAGGTCCTCCAGGATCTGAAGGGGAGGGAGCAAAGGAGGAGGAGATGAAATGGGTTATAATTAGGCCCAAAGTGGGACTGGAGAGATGGCAGATGGGAGGATGAGTTGGTGATGTATTTGTAGTCCTCTGTCGCACATGTAAATGGAAAACTGAGACAGACATCTTTCAGAGAGGAGGAGCAAAGGGGCTTGAAGTCTGAGCAGAATTAATCAAGCTCAACTCGACTGTCTTTCAGAGAAAACTTCTACTTTTATATATTTACTGAACAACCATGAATATTAATTACTTACTGTTGGCTTCACTAGTAACTGGCCCATGACCGTGAACATCCTGGACAATCCCACAGGAGTGCACACTACATATGAACACAGAAAAAAAGTGATCAGCTTGATTGTTTAACCATAACATGGTGAACTAATTCAGCAATATTAAATCGATGGTACTTTAACACCACATCAGCAATAACATTTTGTTTTTTCAGTGTGTATGAGAAGAAATTAAATGACTTACTAAGTAAAAGCAGTCCTCCCATTAGAGATATACAGGAGTAGAGGTATGGTAGGTAAAATTCCCAAAGATCTACAGAAAGAAATGCATTCATTTAATAAAATATAGACTTAAAAGAAATACAGGTAGTGCCACAGTTTAGAAAAGAAATCCTAGTAAAACCAAAATATGTCTCTTTTTTACATTTGGATTTTTGAAGGGATTAAACAAACAAAATATAATGTGTTCAATGTGGTATTGCCAATTCCAGTCAATGCTAAGCTAATCAACTCGCAGCTCAAGCTTCTGTTGGAAGCAAAAAAAAAAAAAAAAAACATTTCCCAAAATTTCAAAGCTTTCATTATAAATACACTAAGGGATTTACAAACGCAAATGAAATAGAATTCTTTAAAAAACGTACCGTAGAGTGACTCCATACTGGCTGCATCGTTGTCAATAAGCGCTGATGCCACCCACACAATGCCCAAGATGAGCAAAGCCAGCAGGAAGAGCATCACAAAACTCTCTAGAATACGCGCCCTAATGCCCTGACAGAAAAAGTGCACAGAAAAGAAAGAAATCATAGATATGGCTAATACGGTTGAAAGTTTCATAATAAATATAAAGATTTATAAAGAAAGTTTAATTCTTTGCACTGAGCTGGGAGGTGGTATTTCCTACATTTCAGGTTACATTTTTAAACACAAAATAAAAATAAATTTACAAGACATCTCCACCAAATCAATTCACAGTACACAAACATGAAATAAACGGTCCCACAGATCCCTGTGTAAAACAGCTCTTTTATACACACATATTGCAGTCTATAAAGTGGGTCTAACAGGGGCTGGTGAAATTAAAAAAAGAAAAGAGAAGGGGGGCTGTAAGGAGCATGAAGCCTGGCTGCGTCAGCTACTGTCTGCGATCAAGAGCAGGCCTCCCATCTGGGGGCGATTAGGTGCTCCCTTAGCACCATGGTCGTGTCCTGGGCCGCGCAGACGAGAGGGTTTTGGGGTAATTTGGGTTTTCCGGGTCACAAACTGCTGAGTGGTTAATAAAGTCCTCCTCTACCTGTTCACACAGTTTCCTTTTCCCCCCCTGCTGGAGAGCCGAGCTGTCTAGCACTGTAAGATAGATAGGCGTTCTCATACACATGTCAGGTAGGGGACCAGGCCCGGGATAACAAGGGCTCTCTGCTGTTGGAGCGCAGCTTAAATTGGGTACATATGAGCAATTTGTTACCAGCTAACATAATGGTTGTGCGGTTGCTGTTCAGTATTTGCCAACAGGTACATGAAGGGGGTCTCTCTTTGAAAGCGGCCCCTGTTAATCATGTCGCTTTATAGAATGGAAATGGTTTCAATTCTGCCGATTAAATCAGACAAGGCTTAGTTTTGTTTTTTAAATTTCCCAACACAGTTCATGACACAGTCATCCAAACCACCTGTCCTTTGGCATTTGCATTACAATTTGAGTCCCTGCTGAACAGCTCTCTTTTCTTATATGCACCCTAAAAGATATGTAACTCACTCTTGAGCTCTTGTCTCTTTTACAAGGACATTTCTGACAAACAGCATATGAGCATTATGGGTCGCAGATATATTTGGTAAATGAAATGGCTACACATCATCACACACCCATTCAGTCCACACTTTGGATAGTGATATAGGGATTTAAGCTTATTCTCAGATTCTATACATTAGTGGGGAAAATCCCCTGTAGCATCCTTTCGCTATTACTGAGCAATCACTTGCCTCTCGCCTCGTTTTATGGTGACAAAGCCTCAGCAAGTGAGTGCAGAATTTTCTAGCACAACAGGGAGGAAAGTGGGCAGGGTCTGGAGTGCCCCAGTGTGGCAAAGGTGGACACTGCAGCCACTCGACAGGTAATGTTAGAGGCGGTAAGTGGTAGATTCAGCACAAAAGGTACATTAATGATATATTATGAATAAATATATAACATTAATACATGCATCATAGTGATAATATATCTTAAGGGCAATTTATCTGTATATTTGGTTTTATGCCATAAACCAACAATAAATTCACCAGTCAATGCCGATTAAATGTTTATTCAACCAGCCACAAATCACAAATGGACATAAAATTCTGCTGATGTCTTCATGCTCTTTTGCACATACTCGCATACTCTCGAGTTCAAATGCTGGATGCTGCAATCGAGCATCTAACAGCCCTAGCTCAACTGGCCAGTGAGGAAAAGCACACACAGCAACGCAGAAACAAAAAATTTTTTTAAAAGAGGCGAAAGGAAGAGATGGAGAGAAATAAAGAGGGAGAACAACAGAGAGAGAATGGTGGAGGAGAGGAGTCAACGTCTGAGCGCATCTCGTTCCCCGGAGGCAAGAGAGGTGAGAGAGGAATGCTTTCAGGGACTTCAGCCACGTCCCACACGCGCTCTCTTAAGGATGCATCGGGACAAGTAGAAGCCGTAGGCAGGACGTGCGTCCGCTCAAGCGCACCAGTCCACCTTAACAAGCTGTCCATGCCATGCTGAAGGTGTATTCCCTTTAGATAGGTCTCTCAATCATTTATAAGACTCAAATCATTACCCATTCAGATCATTTAGGGCAAAGGCAATGCTTGTCACCTCCCTTACTATCATCCCTGGCTCCTGCCTCGCTGGACGAACAATCCACTGTGTCAGACAGGATTTGACTGTGCAGGAGAAAGAGGACACTGAACTGTGAGCCCAGATTGGTTTCACTGATCCGTCCATACGCATGACGCTGCACACTGAAAGTTATGTCAATCCTTAACTATTCCTGCAAGGGGAAAAACTAAGTCCTTTGTTCATCGCAAAGCTAAGGAAGGCCAAATGTGCACTTAATATATGATACAAAAATAGGAAAATCCATCTAAGCAATCAGTGGTGATCAAAGACAAACTGTCAACTAGTGAAGGGAGGGAGGGAAAAAAAGAAAAAGTCCTGTGCCTTGGCATCCAGAACGCCCGCTGAAAGTTTCTATTCTTGCCATTCTAAATGTGTAACTACCTCTAAATATAGCAGCTCTGAAATATTCAGCATCCCCTGATCCTCACACCGACATCCAGTGAGGGGCTGGTTAACTGCAGCTATGCTCAAACAAGACAGGAGAGACTTCCAAGAAATGTGTGTAGTGGCCAGAGAGAAAAGTAACCACTTCATCTGCGGTACCAAACAAACATGCATGAATTCACGTATGCGTGCGCACACGCACACACGACCAGAATCCACCCAATTACACATAGCCGCAGAGAGCCTGGAAACAGTTCACAAGCTTTTCTGCCTAGCTTGTGCTGCAGAAAAACTAAAGCACAATCTGTCACCGTCTTTGATGTAGCGCTTCAACTGATGAATCCAGCAGAGAGTTCACCTCTGGAAGTTGAATGCCACTGTGCAATGGTGGACAAGTGTGAGAGAGAGAGTGAGAGATGATACTTGGGAAGGTGCAGGGCTGTGTTGGATGTTTGGCAAGTAGAGGGGACTGGTGAGAGAGAGAAAGAAATCAGACAAAGGAAAAGAGTTAGGTGGTGCAGGAGCTTCCTAGTTGTCGCCATCAATCCTTAGCAGGTCAGCAAGCGGTGGCAGAGATCATCCCGCATACCATCCTTCTGCTCACTGTCAGGGGCGTGTGGAACAAGGGCCAAAAGCGTAATCAGGCAGGGAGGGGGTAGGGTCCTTTTTTTTGCTCTCCACCAAAAGGACTGCCCTCTTTGCTAAAGACGTGCCAGATGCCCAGGGACCTTATTAGTGTATCCTTCAACCAGTCGGCCACAGCGCAATGACCGTGTCAAAGACAGAAAACAGAAGAGAGGGACACTCCCCTGTAAAGCTGCACAATGAACTTCTAAAGACTCTTAATAAGACTTCTTTATTAAAGCACCAATGACACCAGAGCATAGAAAATCATCAACATCACATTGTACCGTTCAAAGTGGTGCGTGGGGTTGAAAATGTTGTTAAAGTTCAGTAACTTGGTTTTCGGGATGTGAATTTAAACTCCTGTTTCCCTGCTGGTTTCACGGCGGACTGGCCGGATGAGTCAGAAAACAACCCAATATAAACGAAGACAGCAGCTTCAATACTTTCTGATGTTTGCCAAATTTTATTGGACATCCTACAGTGGCAACAGCTTGTTGCGATTACAGAAAGGTGTCAGACTGATACGTCTTCAAAGAATAACTGGCTTATTATCGTCGAGATAAAAAGGTGCACCTAGACTCAGATTCAACATTATACACTGTCCTACTAAACGATATGTAAATGAGTTGTGGTAATTCAGTTTACATGTATGATGCCTGATATCTTCCTTTGAAATCTGGTAGAGAATCAGTTAAGCTTAAGAACTTATCATTTAGTTTACAAAAACTGAGTCACGAGAGATGGGGACAAAAATCCTGAGCAACTCGCTTGTTCTTTTTTAAATTCCCAGCTCGAACTAATATGTTGCCATGGTAACGAACATTGTAACAGGCAGCTTTAGGGAGACACTGTGACCTTAAAGGAAGGTATGTAAACACCACTTTATATTCTCCGACTGGCCCTGCCCGAAAGAAGGCCTGGGAAAAATGTCTGCATGTGCAGGAGATTTGAAATAAATATCCAAGCCCCCATTGTGGAGCTCCAACAAAGAGGAGTATCTTAGTAACACCACACGGGTTTGCTCGGCGAGACGTTTTCTCTCTCTTCCTCCCCTACTCCTCCCCTCCACAATAAACACACTTCTCATCATTGGCGGGTTAGGGCTTAGGATGAGATTGATGAGGAGTTTCTTTAACTACCAGATGAAACCTGTTGGCCCTTTGCTGGGTCAGTCAGGGGGTCAGACTCGTTCCAACTCGTTTTAGGATCAAACACATTTCAATACTGTGGGTAAGACCAAAAGACCATTCACTGCAAAGCATACTTTCCACTATTTATTTTGCTTCTTGACTCAAAAACCTACATCTAGAAGAAACCTAAAATATTCAAACTTACTGGAAATTCTGCATATTTTTTACAATAACTGTTAGCAGCTCAGGCTGTGCCATTGACATCTAAGCATTAGTGCTAAAAAAAAATAACTAGACTACAAGAGAAATAGACCAGAAAGATGTCATTGTCAAAACTTTTTTCTTTTTTTTTTTTTTTACACCTTGATCTAATTGTTTTTGAGTAAATATAGATTCAAGATATCACACTCATCATGTATAATTCTTAAGCCAACTTAGGTCCCTTGATATAAATAGAAGTCTAAACAAAGGCTGGTCTGATGTCTTCACAGTCTTTGTCACACGCTGATCATCGCAATAAGGATGACAGGGATGGTTCTCATCATTATAATGCCATCTACTGGTGATATGGAGACAAGAGTAACAGAAAGAAATGCTATATTGGGTTTTATTTAAAGCCTCATTTTAGAATACTACTTTATATGCAAGACGCACAAACACACTGTGGTATAGAGGTTTCTAAAACATGATCTGAACTAAAAAACCTGAACTAAACAACAACCTTTAGTGGCCTTGGTGACGCAGCTCGTATGTAAAGATTTGAGAACGCAGCAGTAAAGTGGGAGACATTTTACAGCAGCAAATAAAGCCAGATCATAACATCTGACATCAAGAGCCTAAGCTGCGCTGATTCATCCACAATTTGGACAATTTGTTAAACTATTAATCACTCAGGTGACAGAGCCTCTGAAGAGCTGAACAGTTAACATTTTTTTTTAAAAAGAAAGAAAAAGAAAATCCACATTTCCATCTTTATTCTGGTGGCGTCTTTTAGTACATCGTCAAAAGTAAACACAGCCACATGAAAAGGCTGACTTACAGCGTTAGTAGTGAAATTCATCATTCACTTCATTTCCGCAGTCAAGAGGACCTCGCAGTGCCATAACATTAGCCCAAGAGGTTAAAATGCCACATAAAACCTTATGACACTGTGGTCTAATGCTGTTACTGGAGAAAGGGATAATATCACATTATAAAAACTCAGATCTGTGCTTTAGATTCCTCTTGCTGTCGGCTACATGATCGACTCTGCAGGCTGCTCCGTTTTTTTTGTTTTGTTTTGTTTTTTTTAGGTGAAACAGGAGCGTCACCTCCACCCCTTCCATAGCAAACACACAATATATACTTGGAAGTGCAGCTCAACATTGAACAGCGCTTCCTCTGAGCATATTTATGGAAGATCAGTAGCAAGAAACAGTCTTGTGCAAATGAAAAAGAACAAAACGGACAAACGTAAAAGAGGCCCTCATCCTGCTTCCTACACATCAGGGCCTACCGAAGAAATCCAACCGAAACAAATTAGTTGGCTGAGGAAAAAAAAGAACTGGCTATACACTACAGTACAGACTAATTTTTATGTGCTTTTGCCAGGAGGGACATAAACCAGAGAGGTTTCAAACTGTGACACAGGATAGAGGTGTATTAAAAGTAAATCTTTCCCCCTCCATTTTGCGAGGCTCTATTGTGCTGTCATGTTGCTGCGACTTTATGGACTTTTGGAACACGAGCCCCCAGCCTCTTTTTTTGGGGGGTAATCAATTAAACGAGGAAGTTCGCTGAGCCTTACAACTCGATTATTAGCCTGTCCTTTTGAAGTTTTATTTTAGGGGGCTGGGGAGGGGGTGACAAGGAATCAGGCTTTAAATCAGTGGGGCCGATGCAGCAGTGTTGAAGCGTTTGCAGCCCATGGCCTTATTGGAAGGGTTTGTCAGGATGTGGCGCTGGGCGAAGTCCAGATTCAGACTTTCATGGTTAATGAGCTTTCTGCGGTGGCAGTTACAGTCAGTGGCGTGAGTCAGGGAAAGGGCAAGGACTAGGCACCTGCTGCTGCTGCTGCTGCTGCTGCTCTGGCTGTTAAGAAGGAACCCCTTGCACTGATAGCAAAGCGTAGACATAGATAGACACAAAAATAACTTTCACATTTTTAGGCCGTTGTTTTTAAACATTGCAGATTTTTTCACCTTTGACTCACAGTTAATAAATCACTTAAGTGTCAGTATCACAAAAACTGGATGAACGTTCCAGACTTTGAAAGCCAAGTGAAGTGTGAAACTCATTTTTCATTTCCAGTGCTTTCTTGATGATAGCTGGCCACCTTGCGTAACACATAAAGAAAATAAACGAAAATGAGGCATATAAATTCTAAAACAAACATTTAAGGCAATGTACCTTTTTCGATCCCGCAAACCCCTCAGACTCCAAGAAGAAATAGGCAAAGGGCATCAGGACAAAGAGGCAAAGGTTGGAGAACAGTGACACCAGGTTCCACAGACCTGCAGACACCAAACAGATGACATACAGTTTTATGCAAATACAACTTATTAGAAACCAATAGTCCTTTTTATTCACATGAGACAATGTTTTTTTTTTCAGGCTAAGTCAACTTCTACGGACATGTTTCCCTAGAAGTTTGAGAGCTTTCCCATGCTGTAGTGGATGTGAGGTCCCAACACTGGGGTTTATCTGGCAAGCGTCCTCCTGTCATTTCAAAGTCATGGACTCTAATGCCCCCTGGTGGCTGTATCCAACAGCCTTAACCACAGAGATGGTGGTTAACACTGACTCTGTGGAGTGTCTGCATGAATGACTGTGTCATAAACATGTAAACCGGTCTGATATGTGATAATATGACCGATGAAGCTGAAGCGACTTTTTTAAAATCTCATGTGGTTTGGTTTTAAATCAAGGAAAAGAATCTGGCTTATTCCAGCTATCAGCAGCTGCCTTTAGTGGGACACATTTAGAAATTAAGAATTCTGAATTTAACCATGTTTGGTACTAGAATAATTTTTGGCCCGTAAATGTTCCTATTAAGCACTTTGTAGTAACTAAGTTCATATAAGTAAGTAAGTAACAATTCATTTCCAAAGTTTGATCATAAACAGAAATGACAACAACAAAGAGATGACCAAATAATTCTTAAAACTGAGACAAACTGCATTCAACCACGAATTAAACAAGATGGGACTCTTTCAAATGATGTCAAAGACAAGCAGATTCAAAACTAGTTTGCACATCCCAGTCTCCATCCATCCATCGTCAACCGCATATCAGGCATACAGGGTCGCAGGGCACATCCCAGTCTATTAATATATATTCTTTTAATCCAGTTTGTGTTTTACTGTGAATAGTGGTTTTTAAATAAAACCGAAAGCATAAAAACTGCGACAATGATTCCATACTGTTATGGAGTAACTCTACTCTTATGTATAATGTTATGTGTATTAAACATAAATAGTGTTGTAGCACAAACTGAAACTGGATTCAAAGAACTGTATTTCTTACTGACCTGAGTGTTGTTGTCGTTCTTTAATAATAATAATAATAATAATAATCTTTATTTGTAGAGCACTTTTCAAAAACTAGTTACAAAGTGCTTTAATAAGTGTAAAGACAATAATACCCAAGAGACAATAATACAAAAACAATATAAGATAAAAGCATGAAAACATTGAAAAGACTAAAATACACGTTTAAGATAAATATAAAATTAGTAAAATTCAATAAAATAAAAGGGATAAAATAAAGTCAAATAAGATCGGGAAAGGCTCTCCAATAAAAGTATGTTTTAAGAAGGGACTTAAAAGAGTTCACTGACTCAGCTGACCTGATTTCCTCGGGCAGGCTGTTCCAGAGCCTCGGGGCCCTGACAGCAAACGCTCTGTCCCCTTTAGTTTTCAGTCGAGACTCTGGAACAGACAACAGACCTCTGCCCGAGGATCTCAAGGTACGTGCTGGTGTGTATGGGACTTAAAGTTCAGAAATATAACAAGGCGAGAGGCCATGAAGAGCTTTAAAAGTAATCAATAGAATTTTAAAGTCAATTCTAAAACACACTGGGAGCCAGTGTAATGAAGCTAAAATAGGAGTAATGTGGTCATATTTCTTTGTTCTGGTTAAAAGCCTGGCAGCTGAGTTCTGGACAGTCTGGAGTCGATCAATAGATTTTTGGGTTAAACAGGTGAAAAGGCTGTTGCAATAATCCAGGCGTGATGAGATGAAGGCGTGTAAAATGGTCTCGGTGTCCTTAAAAGTTAACATAGAAATATAGCAAAAATTCGATCTAAGTTGATAAAAACATGATTGAACAAGCTTTGTGGTGTGCTGCTCGAAATTTAAATTACTATCAAACCAAACACCAAGGTTCTTTGCAACAGGCTTAATGTGATTTACTAGGGAACCAGCAGATGGCAGTATTTGTTTTGCCATCTGCTGGACCCAATGACCAGGATTTCTGTTTTGTCTGAGTTCAGTTGGAGGAAATTATTTGACATCCATTTTTTAACTTCACAAAGGCAGTTGTTAAGTGAACTCAGCATTCCAGGGTCTGTGGATCTGACGGGCAAGTATATTTGTGTGTCATCAGCATAAATATGAAAAGAAATGCCATGTTTATGGATAATATGTCCAAGGGGAAGCAGATACAAGGAAAACAAAATGGATCCTAAGACCGACCCCTGAGGCACACCATATTTAACTGGATAGAACAAAGAGACATAGTTCTTTACAGACACGCAAAACTTCCTATTTGACGGGTAGGATGAAAACCATTCTAGGGCAGTACCAGAGATCCCCACCCAGTGCCTCAGTCTGTCTAACATGATGTTGTGATCAATGGTGTCAAAAGCGGCACTAAGGTCCAGGAGTACCAGGACTGAGCACATGCCTTCATCAGCAGACATTAAAAAGGTCATTGGTGACTTTAAGCAGGACAGTCTTGAAACTTTTTAAATATTTTGTTATTTTGCAGTACAGTGAGCAGCTGTTTGGACACAATTCTTTCTAGAATCTTGGCAATAAAAGGCAGTTTTGAAATTGGTCTAAAATTATGTGGGAGGGAGGGATCTAAACCAGGTTTCTTTAAAAGTGGGTTCACACAAGCCGTTTTAAAATAATCAGGGACACAACCAGTAGATAGGGAGCTGTTGAAAAGAGAGATCAAATGGGGCCCAACAGAATCGATTACTTTCAGTAAAAACTTTGTAGGTATTACATCAAGTGGGCTGGAGGACACTCTCTTTTGTGATACTGTTTTTAAAAGTTCAGACAAGTCGATGGGATAAAACTGGTTAAAACTCTGTTGTTGCTGGTGAGGGACCTCTGAGTAAGAGGCCGCGGGGGTAATAGAGGCTCTGATTGACACCACCTTATTGGTAAAATAAGATAAAAACAATTCACAGTCATCATTACTTCCAGCTGAGGCACACGGAGGGGTTGGGTTTACCAGCTGATCCACAGTCTTAAACAGAAACCTGGGATTGTGTTTATGAGTAGTAATGAGTTCAGAAAAATAGTGTGTTCTCACATCCTTAACCATGTTATTGTAGTTAATTAATAAATCCTTCAGACTGAGGTAATGGACTTGGAGACTGGATTTTTTCCATCTGCGCTCTGCTTTCCTGCATTCCCTTTTTAGGCTGCGAATGCTGTCATTTATCCAGGGTTGATTACTAGCTTTAGACGCAGAGGAGCAGTAATATTTAGTGACGACAAGCAGATATGATTGAAGTGATCAACCAGATCGTTGGTGTTGGAATCAGACAGGTGTTGGCTTTGGCTTTGAAAGAATGCGCAAAACTTTGAAACACTTTGTTCATTAAAGATGCGAGAACACACGGAGCTTGGTGAGGCGGCATGAGTAACAGGCGAATCACAGCTAAAAACAATATATCTGTGGTCAGATATGGTCATGTCCACTAATTCCACAGAGGAAATGCTGACACCCAGGGTAAAAACCAAGTCCAGTGTATGACCACGGTTATGGGTTTGCTCTTTGACATGTTGTTTGAAGTTAAAAGAAGTGGCCATATTTAAAAAGTCAGTTGCATTAACATTGTTGGGGTCATCAACATGAATATTAAAATCGCCACAAAGAACAATTCTGTCATGTTTAAGAAAAAATAAATAAATCATACTGTCGCAGGAGCACACGTGCTAATTTCTGAATTAATTATCTGGTGTGACAACAGCTAAATTAAACTGATTAAAAGAAAAACTTAAACAAAAACGTTTTGGATAAGAACTCCAATGTTTTTCAATTTCAATCAAGCATTTATCAAGATTTTTAAACTGGTTAAAAAAATGTAAGTGTGTGCTTGTCGACTGCGATTTGCACAGCATATTAATCAACACCTACCTACTGATTCTGACATTAATGTAAGAAGTTAATCATAATTCTAGTCAATGTTGTTCTAAATATGTTAGTAGATATTTGCTTTCTTTGAAAAGCAGAAATATTGTTTAATCAAAATACAAAAGGGACAAGAAAGGGAGAGAAAATGAGTTAATTAAATAAAAAGACACATGAACTGTGTGATCTACTGACCATGAATGAGGGAGCCATTGAGCCACTGAATGTAATAATTTTTGGGAAAGGAGAGGAGGATCTCGTTACTAATGATTGAGAAAGGTAGTAGGAAGACGGCACCACCGGACACTGCCAGGGTGAAGGTGCACAAGTATAATCTGCAAATGGAATCAAACACACACACACACACACACACACACACACACACACACACACGTTAGGGCTTGTTGAAATAAAAAACACATGCAGAATTGCAACAAAGAAATATCATAATTATTTCTTCTTCAAATCAGCAAATACTTGGATTACATGTTATATATAAAAAAGATCACTTGGTTTAAAGTGTGAGAAGAATTAATAAGCAAAAGCAACTGATGAATTAACTTATTTAGTGAAAGCGACCACTTAAATAGCACTGGATTAAACTGCTATGGGCTCATTGTCAGTCTATACTTTTAATCATCCTTCTGCTACTCGGTTTCATCCACCCCTGCACGAGTCCTAGAACAAAAGACATGGACTGGCTATGTTTCTAGAGCCTGCGATTTGTAGAGATTCGGAGGATGTAGGCCGCCAGATTGGGCCCAGGGGAGTGACCATCTGCTCAGTGGTCCTCAGTAAGGCCACACAAAGTCCCCACTGGACCATATCACTAAAGGAGCTCATTAACTGAAATGCTTTCCATTACTTTGCTGGACCCTCAGGTATCATTTTGCTGAGCTGGGCCAAAACATGCAGGATGCATGTGGCTACAACAGTGTAATGTGAACTGTAATTCTAAACTGACTGATATGTGATACTTGCCATCGCAGTTCTAACTACTGACACAATCTGTAAGACATGAATGTCAGTGGAAGTCTTCCGATTATTTTCTAGATTAATCACCTGATGGTTCGGTCTATCGAATGTGAGAACATAGTGAAAATTTCCTGAAGTGACATCTTCAAATGTCTTTTTTTTGTCTAACCAACATTTAAAAACCCAAAAGGTATTCACTTCACTATGATATGAAACACAGAAAAGGAGAAAATCATCACAACTGATAAGCTGGAAGCAGAGAATATTTGTCAGTCTGCTGATTCTTTTTTTTTTTGTCATTTCTAATTCATAATTAGCTAAATAAATAAGTGGTTACTCAACAGTGCTTGCCACAATTTCTGAAATACATTGTTCTAAAATAAAAAGATATAACTGAAATTAGCTTTACTCACGATATTCTGTTGACAACAGCATCTTCGTCCTCGTGGTCATCTATAATGGAAACCAAACCACTTCACAAGGTGGTAAGAGTGACATTTCATACACAACATCTTTCTTTAAACAGTACTTATAAGAACACAACATTGGCTACATGTTTTATTTGGGTCATACTGATGTATCTGTTGAAACTGGGTCAAATCTCTGATTTTCTTTCCACCTATAACGGCATCAAATTATTGTCCAGAATCAATTATTGTAGGAGTGTTGGTGCAAATGCAGGAACGAAACAGTCTCAGTATTTGAGACATGCCATTCTTAAGGGAATTCTAAGGCTGACTATTGCTTTCTATGGGTCTGTATTTGTTTTAAAAACAACGTTAACATGATACTTTTCATCCACTGCTAATTTATAATTTTAGTTTTTTAGTTTTCACAGTAGAAATTGGCATTATTTCATGTCAGCAATAAACAAATTATTCAGTACCTGTGCTGATATAAAAAAAACAACATATACAGTATATTTGACAGATAAAATAGTATTGAAGAAATTAGAGCATGAGCTGATAATCATCACATTATGTCAGACAGCAAATAGTATGCTCAAATAAATTGTACCAAGCAGTGCATTTAATGCCACTTTATATTTCACAGTATCTTTGTACCGTAAGAGAAAAGATCCGGCTACCATACCACTTGGTGTAAGGAAAAGAGCAGCCCAGATTTCTACTGTACAAAACTCCAGAAGGGATTTCTGGTGCTAAGTGGTCTATTTTCAAAATGTGACAAGGGAAGCCTAGGTGACCTGGACATACTAAATTTGTCCTGGGAAAATGGGATGCAGTTCATCATGTCTGCCAGGGCGTCATTGTTTTCTCCTTCATAACTCAGCCAGATTTGTATTTTCAGTCATGTCTGCCTGCTGTTTTGGACATTTTACAGAAGAACAAAACCTATCCTCCTCTTAAAGATACCACTGAAATTCACATTGTCCCTGAGTCTACATTGTTTAAATATCATTCGATTACCATACTGATATAACCTGTCCTGGTTATTGGCTGGCTGTCAGTAACCTGACCTGTCACAGTTGTTATAATGTGACAAATTGAATTCATTTTGCCACAGCCCTAAAAGCTATTTGGGGCGGATACAGTTTACTCTGATACAAAGCTGACTGTGGCAGATTACTCTACAGGCATGGGTGCGGTCTCTCACGCATACATCTAAAGCCTTCTTGGCTGTGACTACCTTTCAGTTTGAACACAATGATGGGCTCTGTCTGAGAGCAAACACAGCATAACCATGCCGTCAGACGAACTTCTACTGTGTTTGCTGTAAAAATGGGTCCACCGTGGACACATTTGGCTGTTACAGATGCTTTAAGACGGGTCACAGTTTCACTGAGGCACATGCTGATTTCTGCTCCGACTTTGTGAGCGTTCACATTCTACAGAAACACTTACCACTCTTCCTCTTGTATCTGGTTATGATGCAGTAGGAGACAATGTAGAGGACTGCAAACAGGAGGAAGCAAATCTGAAAGGACAACATAAGAATCTTAGCCAAGGATTTTCTATGACTGCAGGTGAATCAGCGCATTGGCAAGGCGTTATCAACAGTACACCCAGCAGATTTCAAATTTACCTTATCTAGTCCCTGTTACGGTATGTCCCAAAATACAGACTATGGGATTGGTAGGCTTTACTAAACCTTTTATAATACCGATAAAATAAAACTATATACAAAATCTAGTCAGATTATATATTAAAGGCTGCTAGACTTCAGTGTAACCCAGTATTACAGTACTGCTCAATTTGTACAGTGACATGATGTGATAATTTAATGCGATAACCTGATGAGAAATACAGTTGTGGACAGAATCAGAAGAAGCTTTATTGCCAAGTAGTGTTTTACACATAGAAGGAATTTGCTTTGGTTATTAGCTGCTACATGTAGACAAACATACGACATAAATAAATGTAGAAATATATAAATATGGAAAAAGCCAATGCAAGTTATATAAGATTAATAAAAGAATAGAGAAAAAAATAAAAATTTGGGTGTCATGATTGATGACCAGCTGTCTTTCTCAGACCATGACGCTGCTGTCTCTCAGTCGTGCCGCTTTGCTATATACAATATAAGGATAATCAGGCCCTACCTCACTCAGTATGCCACCCAGCTTCTGGTGCAGGCCATGGTTCTCTCTCGCCAAGACTATTGCAATGCCCTTCTAGTAGGTCTTCCAGCCTGTGCGGTGAAACCCCTACTAATGGTTCAGAATGCAACAGCGCGTCTTGTTTTTGATCAGCCCAAAAGGACACATGTTACTCCATTACTGAGTGACCTCCACTGGCTACCCATGGCCTCCCGAATCAAATTCAACTCACTAATGCTTGCATACAGAGTGACTACTGGGTCTGCACCCATCTTCCTAAACTCCATAATAGAAGTTTACTTTCCTTCTCGGCCACTAAGCTCCTCCAACAAACGCCGACTGGCTTTGCCATCCCTTCACACAAAGCAGTCTCAGTCCCGGCTGTTCTCATCTGTAACACCACGATGGTGCAATGAGCTACCACACGCCATCAGAGCAGTGGGGTTCCTCTCTAACTTCAAGAAGCTCTTGAAAACTCATCTCTTCCGAGAACACTTTCTCTTATAACACCTCTAACTCCTAACCTCTAACATGCACGTCCTGTGCTCTTCTTCTTCCCTTACAATTATCCTGTATTGATAGCACTTTTTTTTAACTCTTACTTATTTCCCTAGGTATTTACCTCATTGATGCGATATGTGCTATTAGCTCTTACTAGTTTTTATTAGTGCTCTTACTAGCATGCATTGTCAGTTGTAGTTCTCGTGCTGTATTTGATGCTTTGTTGATGCTTTTATGTTGTTCCTCAAATGTAAGTTGCTTTGGATAAAAGTGTCTGCCAAATGAGTAAATGTAAATGTAAATTTGCAGAGAAAGAACAATGTGGCAGATACTTACATGTGCATTACTCCGGTTCGTGTTGTGCAGACGTATTGCAACGGAGGAGAATATTGTGTACATAAATATATAAATTGACAAATTGAAAATATAAAACAGAGCGCACCGAACACTGAGGCAGCTATACGCAGCGCCATCTCAGTCCTATGACCTGGGTCACATGAGAATATCAAGGCCTCAGCATTTACCCATAACAAACAGTCTGGTATGAAAGGTAATCCATGCCATTTTTGTGTAAAAACTGTGTATGCAATGCATTTTCTACTACATTACAAACAGTCTAACAAGTTGTTTTTAAACAATGTATAGTTTTATGGCTGCAAGTAGGTCTGGACAATATGGCCAAAAATGTTATCACGATAAAAAGTTTCATATCTTTCGATTTCGATAATTATCACGATAAGTATCAAATTGTTATTTCTTTCGAGTTTATAGGCTGATTTTTACCTCTGAGTGAAAGTTTCAGTGAAACTCTTCTTTATGGTCAACACTTGAGGCCAAACAGTGGAAATAACAACCTAATCAAATAATGGATTAATCGTTTCTGGTCTAGTAGTTTTAATTGTAATAGTGGATTATCTGTCTAGTCCAGGCAGAATACAGAGTACACACAGACTTGCCCACCTGAGTCTGATTTTCCTCCCATATGGTGAAATATAACACTTTACCAAAAAAAAAGTGTGCAGAATGAGCTCAATAAAATAATTCTCCACCCTATTATTACAAACATCATTATCTACTTAATATTTTTCAATGTGACTAATTTATTTGATTATAACAAACAAAAGTGAGTACTGTGTGTGCTCATTATTGTTTCCCAATGTCTGACATTACTAATTAGGCCAACGCTACATGCACAGTGTTCCAGAAATTACCATTTGCTGCGTGGGAATTTATTAGGTAACAGTGCCCGAAAAACAAGCTGGACGGTCTTACAGAAAGATCACGTTCCACATTCCCCCCTTCTACTGTGACAGTGACTGGGACACAACTAATGTTAGAAGCTTCCACTTCAGCACTTTGTACTCTGTCAACATTGCACAACTTGTCATGGCCAAGCTGGGATTATGAGATGACTCAGCCAGCAGATACAGGGCACACTGTGTGCATTTCAGAGACAGACAAACTGACATAAAATGAAATCCCAAACCCCCACAGTCAGTCTGGGAGGTACATGTTGATATATGACAGCTGAAGCAAAAACATTTTTTTTTTTATTGCCTACAGTCCCCTTCCAATTGAAAGACAGCTGATATGTTTAAAAGCTACAAAACTCTGTGATGACAGTGGTTCAAGTACAACTATGTTGCAAACGCAGAATAACACAGAATCAGGTGCACATAGCTGATAAACTGGCACAGAAGCACTACAAGAATTTGGGAAGAGATAAAAACATGTTACAAGCAGACCAGTGAAAGACACCGCCACTAGCAAAAATATCTCCGTTTTCCCTCAAAGAATGCTGAGTAACATTGTAAGCAATGGAAAAGATGCAGGTAATAACAAGTCAGGCTTCTTGCAAGCAGTTTGCAAGCAACCCCAACCTGCTTAGGAACGGTATTTCACACCTTTATGATATATGAACTCAAGCTGGACGTGAGGGACAGTAATTCAATTTTTTTTCCGAGGAGGATCCTGTAGATGAACTAATCAGTATGTTTTTGTGCAGTTTGTGCATTAGCTTGAAAGAGGCTGTATCTACCACAAATGCGGTTATCCAGGTTCAGATGTCAAAGACAATAAAAACTTCTTCAACACAGTGCATCTCTGTTTATAAAAGCATGTGAAAGCCTGATAATGATATTAGAACTGTGTCTGGAAGTGGAAAATGTAATTATTGACCAAAGCATGTGTGAACTAGTGACACATTATTCTGTGTAAACTGATTTCTGTGCATTCTTCAATAATTCTTAACAGTAGTACCCTATTACAGGAGAAACAGTTTCCCACACTTCAGGTCTTATAACAGAGTACCATCTTGTCACACACACTCATGTTGACCAACTTTAAATTTACCCCAGAGTAACCTTGGCTGCAAAATAAGCACACACAACAATAAATATAATTTGGCACCTGTAGAAGCATTACAGCATCGTGCAAAGGGATCTTATGTATAAAATGTTGATATGGGATACTGAGAAGACGCTTAGGACAAAATGTGAAGCAGAGGGAAAAAAGGTGAGATGTTGAGCTTGCCTGCTGGTGAGACATTTCATGGTGTCTATATTTCAAAAGTGTCTGTCAGGAATAATCAGAAAAACCTACTGCAGACAAAGTGTCCCCTCATTAGGTCTGCACTATTAAACCTCAACAGACCATGTCTATGAAGATTCTCAGTCATCCAGGTCATAGTTATCCAACGAAGGTTAAAATCAAGGGCAACTGGACTTGGTTGAAGATACTGGAAGACGTTTCGTCCCTCATCCAAAGGACTTCTTCAATTCTGGGTAGAACTGAAGAAGTCCTTCGGATGAGGGACGAAACGTCTTCCAGTATCTTCAACCAAGTCCAGTTGCGCTTGATTTTAACCTTCGTTGTATACTCAACAGACCATGTTTCCTTACAACATATTAAATTATTTGAGCATGATAATGACACTGTGACCTGTCATGGAAAATTTAAGATAAATAAAGCATAAAATCTAACACTGAAAAGGACTGAAGAGAGTTGCAGTTTAAAACATCCCTAGTAAAAAGCAGGCATATTACATATAAGTCTGTTCCAACATCACCAATCAGCACACTAAGTGTAAGTTACTATGACCAACTAGTTAGTGAGAGCTAACGTTAATATAAGCTAACTTAATTAGTCCCTTTCGCTTATTGTTTTTTATTTAAACAAGACTTGGCCTATAACTTTAGCGGGCATAAAACAATAAATGTTTTTGGTGCACCATAAAATGAACCATCGTTATCAAGCTTAGTGACTCCTGTCGTGTCAAACTGACAGTTGAAGCTAACGCTAGCTACCGTTACTGTGTGCAGTAGAGGACGTTGTTAGCCTGCTAGCCTCGACTAGCCGCTTACTTACGATGTACTCCCGGACTTGGCTGTGGAAATTCTGCTCTCTGATAGTAACATCGTCTTCTTCCATTCTTCATATTGCAAATACAGAAAAAAAAACCTACAGACTCACTACATGCTAGCTCGCACAGCTTGCAACAACAACACCTGCGTCTTTTCACCACTGCAAAAATTGCCCTGACTGGTTAAAGATTTTACATGGAAGGAAAAGAAGCTCCGCGCTAAAATAAAAACGCCCCAAAATAAAGTGCGTCATCACCGTGCGCCGACTGTTCCCTGTGCCCTGGAAACAAATTGTCACATGCTCTTGGGTCATATCAACAAAGTTGTCCTCATGGAGATACATGTGCAAGTGAAAGGTGGCTAATTTATGTTTTTAAAGAGTTTCTTTGCGTCTGTCGTTTGTTTTAAATTCTCTGTAGTTCAATAACGCTAGCTTTCTGATAGCTTAACCGAGCGGATGTGGGTTTTGAAAGAAGGGAAGCCGGTTGAAGGTAACGTTATCTAGCTCACGTTATCCATCTGATCATAGTAAACTGTCTTGAGTTTGATTTATAAAGATGAAGGGGAAATGGAAGCAGAACAGCAAAAAGAAGAAGGGAAATGTAGTATTACAGAAGTACATGGTGGCGGTGGATGAGTTTATTAAAAGCAAAAGTGGCACCGAAAAAGAGGAGAATGACCACGGCTTGAGATTTGTAAAAAAGAAAAGCAGAAAGGAGCAACGAAAAGAAAAGCGGAAAATGAAAAAAGCCAAAATGAAAAATCATTATGAGGGTAAAAAGACCCTCAGTTTACCCCCCGATGATGGTGAAAACTCGGGAATACCAGAGAAGAAGAAGAACAAGAAAATGGAGAAAGCAAAGAACGAAATGTCAAAAGCAAATTCAAGCAAGTCCACTAGTGCCCCTATTGAAAAATCAGACAACTCTAAAACGCCCTCATCTTCCAAGAGAGGAACGAAAATCAATAAGCTTCAAGAATCGAGAAAAATGGCACTTCTGGAGGCAAATGAAGAGGAGGACAGAGAAATAAAGAAATTAGAGCGCTGCCTGGGATTGAACAGGAGAAAAAATAAGAAAAGTCTCCCTCAGTCCTTTGTGGCTGATGGGCTTGATTACATTCTTGGTATGCTTGACTCCGGCTCATCGGCTGCGGGGATGTATGATGATGATGATGACATGGACATGGCCAAGGAGAACTTTGAAAAGCTCGATGAGAACGACCCTCAGCTGTCAGACGAGGATGAACAACCTGAAGATGAGATGGCAAGTGAAGGCAGCGATGAGGATGTGGGCTCGTTTGATGATGAAAATGAGGTGGATGAAGAAGGGGAGGAGGATGAGGATGGTGACGATGAAATGGTTGAGGAGGAAGAAGCAGAGGAGGAGGAAATGGAGGATGAGCTGGATGAGAGTGATGCAGCTGACTCGGATGAGGAAGATGAAGAGGAAGAAGCAGACACTCTTGACACTAAGACATCAGGCTCCAAGTCAGAAACTGTAAGTTCAGAAACATTTTGTTATTATTCTCATAGCATTGACATCTTGTGTGCTGTATTACGGATCTAACTGTAATCTTCCAATGTCCAGGTCAACTCAGCAGCGGGTAAGTACGTGCCGCCTCACTTGCGAAACACTGGAGACGATAAACGCAAAGCAGAGCTTGAAAAACTGAAGCGGAACGTGAAAGGCCTGGTGAACAGGTAACTGTCTCACCACTGCACCGAAACAGCACATTCTCACAAATCAAAAGTTGTATTCATAAGAAATAAAAACCACCTTGCTCAGTTTAATGGTGCAGTATGACCAGCAACTGAATCAATCGATATTACCAGCTTATGAATACTTGTGCTACTTTTACACCAGCATTCACCATTGCACCATATTTGCCTTCGCTTTAACCCTGAAATTTAAAAAAAGCATTTTATGTTTCATTTAATGTGTGTGCGGTGATACTGATGTGTCCCTGAGCAAGACACTTAACCCCTTGCGACCTCTGACATACAGTATATAGCAATTGAAAGTCTCTTTGGAAGTGTAATGTAATGTGTAATTTCCTTGATTTCATGGGTAAATTCTCTGCTTTTGCATTGCAAACCAACGAAAATGCATTTTTCCAGAATCAATATCAAAATCTTATCCCCTTTCTTACTATAATTAGCTATTCAGCTGATGCATCAGGCACTTCACTGTATATATGAAAATTCTAATTTTGTCTAGATTGTAGGTGCCCTGTCAGTGCCTTCTGATAAAATAAAACCTGCATGTCTACCTCGATCTTAAAGTTAGTACAACCAGTTTCCAAGAGTGTGAAAAAGTTGCCATTGCTCCTAGAAGCTCAGCTGGGTCCAGCTTTGTTATTTCCACAGTTGATTTGCAGTGAGGGGCATGTTACTAGATCTAAAATCAAGTTTTTAATTGTTTTGTTGCGATTAATCTGTCTCAAGGTGATGTGATAAAATAGCTGGTTTTGTCAAAACAGTCAAAAACCTAAAGATATTAACTTTACAGTGATATGAGACAGATAAAAGAAAAAGTTCCTCACATTTAAGAAGCTTAAACCGTTAAAAGTTTGCCATTTTTGCTTGATAAATGTCTTAAAAGATTATTTATCAAAATTGTTAGCAATTAATTTTCTGTTGATTGACTAATGGCTTATGATGCTGTGAAGATGCAACCAAAAGAGTTAAGGATTTTGTGGAGACCAACCCTTCATGTAGTTGTGGATTTGTGCAGATAGAAAGATTTCCTCTGCATGGATTCTTGGTGGTCTCAACTGGTCAACGTTGTAGTCACACTAACGCCTGACTTCTGAGCTGTTAGAATTCTTTGAAAACTGATCATTCATCATTTTCTAACTTCTTTAGGCTGAGTGAGCCCAACATGGCATCCATCAGTGGTCAGCTGGAGGAGCTGTACATGAGCTGTAGCAGGAAGGACATGAATGATACCCTAACGGAGGTGCTGCTAGCAGCCTGCGTCACCCCGACCCTGATGCCTGACAGACTGCTGATGGAGCACGTCCTGCTTGTTAGCATCCTCCACCACGCCGTCGGGTTAGAGGTAAACACACCACCTTCAGTCAGTGATTTTGAATTGGTAAACCTCTGATTGACGCAAACAAATGTCAAAGGCAAATTTTATAGGCAATGTCCTCAAAATGGATGTTAATTAAACAGGTTTTACTTCCTGGATGCCTGTCCATTCCGATACCTTCAGTTCACTGTCCCAAAGGTGACAGCAGTGGATTCAGGTTTTACCAGCTGTGTGTGAGAATTGTAACCACGGACCTGGGAACTGACATCAGCTCTTTGATCATTCATTAGAGACTTTTTTTCAAAGGGATTAGCTGCTTTTGCACCTCTCCAGTGTAAGCTAATGCTCTTTTGATGAATTAGAAAGTGATAACTAACACCTTGGTTTCCTTTGCTTAAGGTGTAATAGGATTGTTGTCTCTCAGTTGTTGTTGACTCTCCATCCTGTATATGACCTGAAACAGGATCATTATTAAAAGCAGCCCACAGTCAGCAGTTGGCTTTCGACACTTTTTGAGGGATTTGGGAAATCCCTTAACATCCATTAGATTCAACATTGAACTTTGTAGTTCTGTTTGCTATGGAGTTTTACAATGCAATAGGAAATCATTATTTATACTTGAACTGTGGGGTTTATTCACAACCTGTGCGATGCTGTTATATTGAACCATTATTTATCATATATATCATTTATTTTTATATATCATACATTAAGCCAATTGTAACATGAATCACAACTCTGTAATATGATCATTTCCCAGGTGGGAGCCCATTTTCTGGAGACGGTCGTGCGAAAGTTTGACGAGGAGTATAAGAGCGCAGCTGAAGGCAAGGAGTGCGACAACCTGGTCACCATTGTCGCTCACCTCTATAACTTCCAGGTGGTGCATTCTGTCCTCATTTTTGACATCCTAAAACTTTTGGTTGGAGCCTTTACAGAGAAGGACATTGAACTAATTCTGTTAATGCTGAGGAATGTTGGCTTCGCCCTGAGGAAGGACAACGCTCTGGCTCTCAAGGAGCTCATCTCTGAAGGACAACGCAAGGCCAACAACATGGGGTCGAAGTTTCAGGATCAGACAAGGGTAGGGAAATGTGTAAGCAATGTGTAATTGGTTTCTCAATTATGTATACATTTTTGGAAGCTTATATAACATTTGTTTATGTACACACATGCTCTCAGCTGCGTTTCATGCTGGAAACCATGCTGGCTTTGAAGAACAATGACATGCGGAAGATCCCCGGCTACGATCCCGAGCCTGTGGAGAGACTGAGGAAGTTGCAGAGGACACTGGTGGGTGGTTTTCACAACATGACCGTATTTCATTTGAAATATACTTATTTCACTACATTAGTGAAAATACATTTAGATTGTGAAGTGTAGCTCATAGGCATTCATTTTATTCATCATGGTGTTTCAAGGTGTTATTTTTTAAAGCGGCTTGCACTTGTACCACCAGGCGGTGCTAGAGTACCACCTTTAGACCAGAAGCCCATAGTGTTGCTGATGCTTTCAGCATGACCATCAGTGTGGCTGTGTCTATTTCAGGATTGCTATTTTAGTGACCTTTAATATTTTACAACTGATGTTTGCCTCCTAAGTGCACCTGTGGCTAATTCTGGGGAAATGTGGTTCTCAGATCCATCGGAGTGCAGCAGGCAGTGACATGAAACTGAGGGTCTCTCTGGACAATCTCCTGGCAGCAGAGCAAGTGGGCCGCTGGTGGATCGTTGGCTCCTCGTGGAGCGGAGCGCCCATGATCAGCGAACAAGGGAGCACAACCTCAAAGCAGAGTGCTGTTGAAGGACAGGTAGAGTCCAGGGACCACAGAAGACACCTACATTACGGCAGAGTACATGCGTGCAGTAGGCATCCCAGTACCAATCTGTAGCCATGCTGTGGAAGGGAAAGCAGATACTGTCTTGACCGTGTCCCATTATGTCTGTGTGGCAGTGTTTATTGTTTGTTGTGTCAAGCTTGTTTTTGTTGCATCCATCCATCCATCCATCGTCAACCGCTTATCCTTTGTACAGGGTAGCAGGGTTTATAAGTGTTGTATTGAATGTATTCTAATTTGGACTTAACTAATTTATAATCTTTAAATTAGATTTTATTTTTATTTTTTTTCCCATGTTGATTTAACATAAATAGTAAATCTTTTGCCACTTAACATTAATCACCCATCATCTGAATTACATTTGTTAGTACAGTATTACTAGACTACAGTATATTTTAATACCTTAGATGAAGATCACTCTTGCCACATTACAGATATATAGACGGTATAGAAACATAAAATAAGCATGACATTTAGCATTTTAGTAGTTTGTTTTGACCTTTTGTTGAATTAAAAAATAAAAGGTTTAACGAATTTTGTGAGTATTAAAAGCACTAGCATTGAACAATTTGACATGATAAGCAGGTCAAGTCAGTATTATTCAGTAATGTCAGCACTTTGAGGAGTGTATTTTGGCCTTAGCTGTGTTTCCCACTTAACTGTTGTCATTGTTTATTTGTTTCAGTTTAGTGCCAAAGTCTTAGAGCTGGCTAGGAAACAGAGGATGAACACTGAGGTCAGAAGAAACATCTTCTGTGTGATTATGACCAGCGAAGATTACATGGATGCATTTGAGAAACTGCTCAGGTTTGTTATGTTATGTATCGATTTTATTTGAACAAAAAACAGAAGAAAGGAAATATGACATGCTTATTTTGGCTGTATTTCATTTCAAAGTAGTCCCAGCTGGAAGGTTGATATTTTAATGCCTTTTTATTTGCTCTGCATGTAGGATGGGCCTGAAGGACAAGCAGGAGAGAGAGATTGTTCACGTTCTGATGGACTGCTGTCTGCAGGAGAAAACCTTCAATGCCTATTACGCCGTTCTGGGAGAGAAATTTTGCGCCCAAGATCGCCGCTTCCAGGTACTCTAGCTGGTTAAACCCATACCATGACGACTGAGAATAATAAAATTAAACTACACTCACTTAACACAGATTAGTGCAACTAAACAGACTTTTAGATTTTAAATCTCCACAACAGCATCAAATAAACTTGCCTTAGTCCCACAAAAGCTTAATGGGTTACCACCACAACTACAGTCTTTCTACTAGACAGTTTAATACTTAACACATGAAATTTCAGTTCAGTTATCAATTATCTTGAGAGCAAAAAACACTTACTAACTTATCACTACCAAAAATTATTTTTATGTATTATAAATGCTGTACCTAGGCAAATGCTTTGTTGTTTAATTATTATTTTCTTGGTTAAGTACTTTTTTAGTCTATAAAAGTTAGAAAATTGGGGAAAATGTCCAATACACTTCCCTAAAGCCCAAGGAGATGATATTAAATTGCTTGGGCCAGCACTCCAACACAAACCAAATAAGATATTCTGTTTACTATCACATAAGATAGTGGGGGCGGCTGTGGCTCAGGAGGTAGAGCGGGTTGCCCGTTAATCGGAAGGTCGGCGGCTCCTCCAAGCATGTCGAAGTATCCTTGGGCAAGATACTGAAACCCGGATTGCCTCTGGTGGCTGTTCTGCCAGTGTATGAATGTTAGTTTCTGTTTGAGCACTTAGGCTCAGTGAATGAATGTGTGTGAATGGTGAATGCAGATGTGTAAAAGCTTTGAGTGGTCGAAAAGACTAGAAAGGCTATACAAAGTAAAGAAAAAGTAAAGCAGCCAATCCTCCCAGTTTAGTAGCTGTACATAGGGAATGTTTGTATCTTTAACAAATAAATAATCATGTAAATAGTTGCGAATTATTTTTCTGTCGACTTATCGTTTCATGTTTCATTAGCCATTATGTTATTTTTTCCCCTATACATATGTTAACATTCAAATCAAGTAATTATCATAATCACATGAAGGGAAGTAAATCTCAAATGATAACAGTACCATTTAAAGCTATAGTGCACTCTGGACATGGTCCTTAATTGAAAATAGATTATGCAGGTGGAAATTATACTGTATGCCAATCAAGGATTGCAGTTTAAGTTAGAGAGGCCAGTTGGCTGTGCATTTCATCATGAGCCAATAAGAAGAGTTGCATTTATTGATTTAAATTACCTGCTGGATGTCTGTGACCACCCAGTCTCTTAAACTGTGTGTGACCTGGCCTGTAGTTCACCTCTGCGGTGTGGGAGCCTCTCACACCTCTCACCTCCTGATATTATTTGACTCAGACTGTGACTACAAACAATGGGGGGGTGAGACCACACGTCCTACTTTGCTACCGTGTAGGCCGCAGGTCCATATCAGAAACTGATGACCATTGTCCTCATCAAAGAGCTCGAACCGGAGCTGGTGGGAATGTTTGCTTTTCACATGTAACCTGAATCTGGATGAGAGGACTCCCTGTGCAGAGAAGCCGGTTTCTGTAGTTTGTAGTTTCTATTGCTGTTCATCGGTGTATCATTCAGTGCAGTTAATCAGTCTTTCAATTTGTATTCTCCAAGATGACGTTCCAGTTCAGCCTATGGGACAAGTTCAGGGAGCTGTCCAACCTTCCCAGCAGCACCTTTAACAACCTGGTCCAGCTGGTTACCCATTTCCTGCAGAGGAAGTGCCTCTCACTATCCATGCTCAAAGTAAGTTACACGTCGTTAAATGTTGGTTGAAGCTTTCACTATATTACATTTATATATTTGATGCTATACATATAATTATATCTTTAAACATAATAATTACGGTCCCCTCTGTGTTTTCCTGTGTAGGTAATAGAGTTTGGGGAACTAGATAAGCCCACGGTGCGCTTCTTGCGTCTGGTGCTGACTAAACTGCTAAAAGAAACTGAGCCTGAGGACCTAGCCAGCATATTTGGAAGGTGAGCTTCGTTTTGCATACACTTAGTTCTTATATCCTTAGTGATTTAAACATGTAAATAGATGAAAATTATGACACACTGAAAAAGAAAACTGCGAGTTTACAGCGATGCTAGAAGCTCCTAAGGGCTGTACGCAGGCACAGCAGTAGTTTGAGCTTAATGCTAACATCAGCATGCTAACATGATGATGTTTAGCAAGAATAATGTTTACAGAGTTTATCATCTTAGTTTAGCATGCTAATATTTTCTAATGGGCAATAAACGCAGCTGAAAAAGTACAACTGAAGCTGATGGCAATGTCATTAGATTTACAGCTATTTGTAAACCAAACTATTGGACAAATTGAATATTTTTCACCTCATGAGTCATCCTTTTGGGACTATGAATGTCTATGCAAAATGTCATGCCAATCCGTCCAGTTGATATTTCAGTTTTGACCAAAATGGTGGCGAGACCAAAACTGCAAACCTTGGAGCCGCGCTGCTAGCATGGCTAGAAAGTCTTTTTTTTAACTGTTCAGCAACGTTAACCTCCGTTAGCCGACATCTTGTAAAACAGCTCCTGTGAACGTCTGAAATCAATGTCCCTCATTGTTTCCCACCTGCCAGGATTTCAGGAATTCCCAAGCTAGGAATGCTGCGGGAGGGCTTGAAGCTTTTCATCAGCCACTTCCTGCTGAAGAATGCCCAGTCACAGGGACCAGCTGAGCAAGCAGCTATGCTGTCAGAGCGAGCCCAGGTCGCCACCAAAGCCATGGAGGCCAAAGAGGCCAAGCTCAAACTGTAAAACGCACACGCACTCACACACACACAGAGCAGAAACCCAACAGAGGTACATAACAAGACTGTGGAACAGAAGAAGGCTTGTCGGTTAGAATTGTCTCTTAACGCTAAGAATTCAAATCAACAGTTTTCTTTAAAGGAGAATATGTTTTTTATATTATGTTCATGCTTTGGGTAGTCCTTTTAAATCTAGAAAATACCGATGCCTTTAAAGACACACCAGTCTTAGCATTATGTATATTATCTTAATGCAGTGTGTATTGGTTCACCTTTCTTTTTCTGCAACAAATAACTACAGATTTTGCTGAAAAATATTTAGCAATATCTTGGATTTTTTACATATTTCATTTTGCAAATACATTGCCCATGATGGTGCTTGTATATTTGTTAATAAAGCAAGGGCAAAATATCAAAAAAGATTTGTTCTACATGCAGGCACAGGACTGTAACAAAATGTTTATACAATTTGTTAAACATTACAAAAAAAATAAAATAAAAGCCTAAATAAATCACAGACATTTTTCCTGAAGCTTTGACTCATTTGTAAAGAGAAAGAAACCATTTCATCTTATTTCTTTTTCTTCTTTGCCTTAACATTTTGTTCTGATGCTGCCCAGTGGAGACAGTGCAAGAGTGAATATTGTTGAGTTCAGACGCCTGGAACCTTTCTTCAGTTTTACTGAGTCTATTTACACTCTTATACACAATACAGCACGTTATCATAAAGTCTTTCACAGCCTTAAACACAACTGATTCACTGATGTGAATATTTGTATGTTGTTGTCCTTTTCTGTTGATATTTCCGCTTGGCTGCTGTGAGTGTGACATGCACAAGAGTGAGAATAGAGAGGGACGGTGGTGTTGCCATTCAGTGTTTACACACCCTGATGAAATGACCGGGGGGCCTCAAGTCTAGCCTATTCTGTTTGCTCGCTGACACCAGTATCTGCCCGCATAGTTAGCATAGCAGAGTCATTCTGTTACATTTGATACTTGCTTCTATTAATTAGCTCCAGTGGTGCGGCCTGGATCAATCTGAGGCTGGAGCGTGGCCTAATGTCAGGAAGGGGCCACCAAGGTCAACCAGAGGAAACGTCCTTCACTAGTTCACAAACCACACCTCGTGGTGAAGGGTTTTAATTAGATGCAACATTTAAGATGCAGTGTTTGTTTTTGATGACAAAGGAGCACATCCTTCAAATACACTTTGGGCTTGAGTAGCAGTGGTGTTTGTTTTTTTGTTTTTTTTTTTATTGAGAAATGATGGAGACCACTGGGAGACACACTGGACAACCTGTCAGGTAAAAGGGGGGAGATAATGGGATCAATAGGCTCACTGTGCAGTCCATACACAGGCCATTGTCTGAGCCGGAAAGTTTAGCTGGTGTACTCTTGTTGGGCTTGACCCTCAGCTGAACTTTGATTTAGTCTGCTAAAGCTAAAGCAAACAGCTGAAGATAACCAACAGATCCCTCTGTAATCCTGCTTCAAATGGCACATAATCAGTCAACCCCTGCTATAGTTTAACACTGATGACTGGGGGGAACAGTGATAAGGAAGAACATCTTGCAGACTGTTTTCTGTATAGTTAACTGATGCAAAGTGTAAACCCATGTACAGATGAGTTATTAAACTGTCCCTAAAGCTCAGTCTAATTGGTAAACCTTGCCCAGTTTAATGAAAATATATTACAATAAAAGACTAGGTTGAAAAAAATAAACGTGTTGTGTAGGTAGGAAAATTAGGCTGTGCAGATTTGGTTTGCATTTGAAGAGGTCAACTTTTTATGCAAAATACAAAGACCATAATACAATTTATGTCTTATATTTATAATTCCTCCTTATTGCATTGTTTTTGTTTTTTAAATTTAAATGAAGACTATGCAAAAACGTCACAGAAAGAGTTTGTAGGTTTAAATGTAACAGTATTTTGGACACAGAACATGTGGGCTATGGAGCTAATAACGAATTGGTATAAATCTGATTTTATCCATTAACAAAACTATATGGGGGAGTTGTTCTTTAGACTAAATGACTTTCATATGATTTCAGCCCCGAAAATAGTGCCTGAGCACCCAAGTTGTCGCTCAACAAGCCGTTTTTAAAGGGTTTATTAATGCGAGCCCATTGCTAGTGTGGTGTGAAATGTTTCCTCCGTCTGACTGCTTACTCGCTGTTTGCTCTCGCTGCACGTTTGCACAGATCCGACAGCGCTATTAACGGTAATTCCCATGACCCGACCTGTCAGAGCAAGGAGAAAAACGCAAGCCCCTGTCCACAGCCGAAGTGAAACGCCGCAAGTTAAGTCGTAAATCAAGGGACTGTTTTTTTTTCTTCTTCTTTGAAACCACAAGACTTGCGCCAAAATACAAACTGAGGCTTATATTAAAAAAAAACATTTTATTTCACATTGTTTGCACCAAGAGAGACGCTAAACAATAATTTCGCATGCACTTCTATGACCATTTTATAAATACAGTATAGAAAAATAAACATAACTTTCCCCCCCCCAGCGTGATATGGCACACTGCCGACACCACAAAGAAAAAAATGACCAATGACAGCGGACAATTAACTGTAGTGTGGTGTTATTGGATATTATTGAAAGAGTATACCATCAGCAGGGACATATTGCAAAGTCCTGAGCCAGTTTACAGCGTTTGCATATTAACCATGCAATAAGTCACAGTTTACCTAGCCGAGTGCTGAATGATGCTCCTATGTGTATAAAACTTAATCCTCCCGCTTTTATTGCTTGATTATGACACAAATATCATCTATTCTTGACCTAAATTTGATTCTTTTCATGACAACAAAATGGATTGGATTACATGCAACTGCTTTTTCGCGGCGAAATCCCCCACAGTCATTATAAATGGAGATCGCCACCTTCGCCCTTCTTCAGCTTCAAGGCTGTGGGCTGTGGTCACTGGTGTGATTCCTCTCCTCGTCCGAGGAGCAGTCTGAAGAGTTGTACAGGAAAGTGTCGCCCTCATCGTCGTCACTGTCTCTAAAATCTCTTATTCTGCCATTTTTTGAGTCTGTTTTGCTGTTATAGTCCGACTGTTCGTGTCCGTCAGATTTCTCCTGGCCGCTCTTGCCGCCTTTCTGCTTTTCGGCCTCCTGGGCGGCCTGCTCTTTGGCCTTCTTACTTCTCTTCCACTTCATGCGTCTGTTCTGGAACCAGATTTTAACCTGAAGAAATGAAAATAATTAAGTTTAATTGGTTTAAACTGATAAAGTAGGAGGCTACCTGTGCGTAAATATGCGTAAAGGTTACCAGTCCGCCTGACATAGACATCTGCGGTGTTAATAACTTAAAACGTTATTGAAACGACTAAAGTGTTTTGTTTTTTTTAAATCCATTGATAAATGAAAACAAAATATCAACAGGATGACCTAATTACCATGTGCCCATGCTAAGTTAAAACCATTGCAGTGATAGGAAAATGACCTTAATGTCTAAAACAGTAAGGATGCGTCGGGATCAAGAAGAATGAGATCTCATCATAATTATTTTCAGAAAATGAATCCAAGCTTAAAATGAACTTGCTGGTGCTTGTGCCTTAAAAAACATTTTGAAGCCTAAAACGGTCACATCAGCCATTGCTGCAAGATATATTACCTGAGTTTCTGTCAGCATGAGGGACGTAGCCACTTCAAAGCGCTTAGGTCGTGACAGGTACTTATTCAATTTGAACTGATGCTCCAACTCCAGCAGCTGCTGACTTGTGAATGCAGTTCTTGGTCTTCTGCACTTGCCAAGCAAGTTGGACTGCGCCTGAGCTGCAAGAGTAAGAAAAAAAAAACAGAAATTATATATACCTTTTTAAACATAGAAGACATTCTATTTTATACACAATTCCTGCCATAATGTAGGCTAAATCTAAATGATGTCAATGTCCAAAGATTCAAGTTCAAAGCCAATAACCTGCTTATGGCTAATAATAAAATGATCAAAAACTGTTGTGAGGGAATTGACAACCCACTGTTTTCATGGTGCAATAAAATCTGATTCTCTACATTTCCGCGCTCCCTGTTTAAGCAACAAGCTCGTGCACATATATAATATTTCCATAGAGAAGCATTTGTCACTCCATTTTGAACAAATCTGTTAAAACGGGCAGAAACAAAAAGGCAGTATCTGGTGAGCAAGTAGCATGTCGCCTGTGGGTTTCACACTCCTCTGCTACTTTCCCACTGTCCATTATCTGTCCATTTTAGTTCCTCTTAGAAAAATTACTACTCTATTACAGCCTCTCTCTCTCTATCATATCAATACGTCAGGGAAATCGTGCGCCAAAATCGAAAACTGATATTTATTTTTTAATTAAAATATGAATGTCATGCCTTTCTATAACTGAGGCTTTTGCACAGTAACAGATGCCGCCTTGAAGCATCGTGTTGGCCTACATTAATTTTAGTGATATTTATTCATATTAATTAGAAAAATTGTAACTAATAAAGCAGGCTTGGTGTACCATCAAACATCCTCAGCTCGACCTGGGTTGCCACACACAACAAAAAGACTATAGAATATATGTGACCAAAATGTTATTATTTATTTATGAGCAGAAAATGCCCAAACATTCTGTAATGAAGCAGCTACTTACAATTGAAGTCAGACATTTTGGGCAGCATCATCCCAGCTGTGGAGACCCTGAGCCAGTGGTCCAGCTGGAATGTGCTGGCTGTCAGTTTGATGGGATCACTGGCGTGGTGATGATGGGAGCTGTGTGGGTAGGAGTAGGACAGGGCAGGGTGTTGGCCTGTGAGGGCAGCTGCGGAGTAGGTGTACATGGGATGGCCGTAGAGAGCCTGTGCGGGGATCCCTGCGGTACTCTGCGGATGTAATCCAACCATGCTGTGCGGACTGTTGAGGAAACCCGGTTTAGGAATCAACCCGCAGGTGGAAATCCTCGGGGGGGACGGCGTCTCGGCGCGTAAAGACTCGACGCTGGTGGTCAGCTCCGGGGCTGACGACGGGATGGAGGAGGAGGACAGGGAAGTCACAAGCGCAAGCGGAGACGTCTGCACCTTGGGTGTATCGACTGCTAAAAGCGCGTCAATGCGAAAGTTTTTGGATTTCTCCATCGGGCCTCCGGTGCGCGTCCTTGTCGCCTCTTTTGCAGTAAACGAAGGAGAAGTCAATGCCGTTTTCCCACCTTTCAAAAAGTTATGATGTGGTCCGGAGTGTGAGAGAGGAGCTCCGTGTCACACTTAATCCCTTTGAGATGGAGGCGATTGGTGCAGCCGTCTGGCAGGGGGCTGTCCCAAGCGTCACAGACCCAACAACGCCTCTCTGCTCTAATCACAGTAAAGCACGGTGTTGGCTGCGTTATTGCTTTCATGAAATATTGCTATCATAGGAAAATGACACAAACGTAAGTAAAACGTAAGATTCTTTTTGATCAATGATAACCTGTTCATCAACAGTGGGTTTATAGAGCAATGTTGTAATATTTTGTTAAACACCGACAGCCACAACACTCCAGAATACCCATCATTTAACACACATTTAATAAAT